AAACTGTTCATATCTAATAAGATGATTGGTGTCTTCTCTATGAGATGAGTTTAGGTGGGCTCAGATCCAGCTCCCATATCACGAGCTGAAGTGGCAGCGTGTTCAATGGCACACTCAGCAGAGATGACCAGAAGTTCATGGGCTGCAGAGCCTGACCTATCTCTCTGCTACTACCCCAGATTAGGCCTGAAGCAAACTGGCACAGCACTGCACATACCTGCAGCCTCACCCAGCCCTGTGACTCCTCAGACTTCCAAGTTCCCACAGCCCAAGGGGCCAGTGCAAAAAAAAAAAAAAAAAAAACAGGGCATCCTTGAGCTCTCTCTAGATTTAAAAAGCTTTGGAGATCTCAACAGAGAATGGTACCAAAATCTCAAAATCTCACCTCTGCAGCAAGGAGCACAAAAGCTTACATCTGGGTTTGCTGCTGCATTCACAACCCCCAGCAGCTCTGCTGGGCATCCCAAACCCCCAGAGCCTCCCTACTCTCGCATCAGCTGGCTTTTTGGGCAGCCCAGAGCGCTCCAAAATGATTCCATGCCTGCCATTTTCCCAGCTGCCCACCATTCCATAACTGCAGTGAGTTTGACCAAAAACTCCACATTTATAACATGTCATGCTGCATCACCACATATTCCTTCCCTTCCTCCCTGTACTAAGCCATCATAAAATAATTAGCAGACACACTGCAATGTCACTGCTAAATAAACAAATACTGCCTGTGCCTGATGCATTCCTTGTCTGGCTGGCCCAGGCTGCCGGCGAGGGCTGAGCTGGAAAAACAGCTCCCACCTGTACCCACCCTGGCAGCAGCCTTGATTAGCGAGAAGCCTAAACCTGATACAGTGGGAAATGCTGCCAGTAAAAATGAAGTATTCTGGCATGGGTGAGTGTGCAGGGACCCTGAAGGAATTCAGCAGCAAGCACTGCCAGTCACACCAGAGGTGCTTTGGTGCCTGGTTTCCCATCGTTTGCCTGATCCTGTCAATGTCTCTTCCAACTATCATGCAAAGTTCAAAAAAAATATACATTATAGTAAAAATTCCAGTCAATATATCCTTTTAATTCACACCAGATTATATTTTTTAATGCAATTACTGTAATTTCATTAAATGGCATAATTACCATTAATGCGGAGAAAACTGTCAATAGAAGGTGTAATTATGTTGTATAAAATCACAAGCACAATGTGCAATGATGCATAATTCCTCATGAAAATCATTCTGTGACTAAAATTAACTTTTAAAATATTTTTAAAATAATATATTGAGTACAGTAAGAATGATTTGGTTAATACAGACTTCACTTCCATGACCAGAGGAGATGGGGGAGCAGAGCAGGCAGAGAGTGTTTTTATGTAGAAGGAAGGTTCAAAAATTTGGTTTAAGTGTGCATCAGAAGGTAAGAACACGAGTTTTCATATGCATAAGTGGGGAAAACAAAGAGTTTATAATCACACAGACATATAAAATGACTTGTGAGCAGACATTCCCACAGGCACATTTGACCATGCAGCTCCAGCTTTTTGGACACCAGTAACCCTGCATGGAAGTGATGTCCCAATGGAGAAAAGTGTGATGAGGAAGAAGTGATGAGGACCAGGCTAAAACTACAACATTCACATTGGAAACTGGTAGAAAATTGTCCAAGGTAGGACATGAAATGTGTCAGGCACACAAGAAGGGCCATGCAGGGATTTTCTGGACTATGTCTCTGGATCTCTTCAAAGTAAAGACCTTTTTGAGAGGTGTTTTTCAATCAAAACACAACATATTGGGTTGAATACAGAGATCACTATATCATAATTAAACAGAATAGAATGTTTGAAGGTGTCTTTGGTTTTAAAAATCTACAAATTCTCCCCGAATCCTGAATTAATGAAGAAGAGTACACAGAAAATGTATTTAAAGGTATTCCTTAGTATATGAACACTGTTAACTCTATAGGAAGCACTTTTCACGTGTGGGAATATTCCTGATATTCCCAGGCACACACAGCCACTTGTGTCCAATTTTTTTACACCAGACCAACAATAAGAGGTACACTTTGAAGAACACAGAAAACCTGTGTGTGACTCTTTTCTCTGACCAACGGATGCTTTTTCTAGAATTTGTGTAACACAATTTGCACCAAACCCTTTGTGCACAGAGCAAACATGACTGAAAAGGAAATTCTGTTTTTCACCTCACCTCCCTTTCAACTCTCTTTCCAAAATCTCTAAATCTGAAAAAATTCTGATTTTACATGTGCCTGAGCAGAGCCCATCAGTGCCCTCTGTGCCTATACAATTAACTCAGATGAAAAATCATTGGATTAAAAGCAAAGAATGCTAATGAATAATATGATTTCATTTTTATAGCACAAAAAAATTAATCTACTCACATGTTCTTGGATTGTCTCACCATTACAAAATAATAAAGAAATTTAGCTTGGGATGATGGATCTTATAAATGAGAAAATATAGTGATAGCATTTTTCTATTCACTCATGTCCTGCCTGTGCTGTCCTCTGTTTCTTCCCTCTTTACCCATCTCTCTTTTTCTCTTGCACACCCAGAAGTAGCAGCTGATGTCCTTGTCACACACATGAGCTGTCACACTAATGGGGAGGGAGGGGCAGTGTAATGAAGACTAAACCAGGAAGGTGTAAGATACTGTGTCCTTGCCTATTGCCATCCTCTGATGAGCTCACAAATATTTTCTTCTGTCTGGCAGTGTTTTTTTGTCTGATTGCCTTAAAAACAGGGCTCCCATGATTACACTGTCTGCTTGTCTTCCTACTCCTCCCTCCCTTTATTCCCCCTTGGAGGAAGGGGTGTGGACTACCTGTAGAGGGAAAGAGAGAGCAATACAAGAGGAGAAGGGGGTTTTAAGGACCACCCAGTATCTGGGATTATCTCCCAAGAAGATATATGGAAATGCAGAATATGATCAAAACAGTTACTGCCAGTGGCCCAAGGGACAACATCTGTAAGGAAAAGCACTTTTCTAAAAAGACATTTTATGGTTTGAGGGCCTGACTGGCACTAAAGCTACTAGTGAGGGTTTTATGAACCCAGCTGAAAAATGGGTAGAGAAGCTTTGTGCATCTTCCTCACCTCATCTTTTAACCAACATGTTAAGAGTGGATTTTCCATAGAGACTGAGGCAGGGAGGGATGCTGCACCTACCACGCTGTGTGCGTATTTTCAATACTATGAACACTCACGCTGGAAATAGTGAGAGAGAGAGATATATAATTAGCATTTCATTTTAAGTGCCAGAGCTGAATTATTTCCATGTGAGAAAAATCAGATAGACTTAAATTTTGGGTTGTAGAAGAAGCCTGTGGTAATTATTCTTAGAGTTGAGTATTTTTATTCCTTTCCCATTACCCACTTTCTTTCAGGAAACTGGGAGTATTATGGTATCCAGTAAAGATGTTAACAGTCTGTAATTTGTAACCTGCTCATCCTCCTTTCCACTAGGAATAAATTCCTTTTTCTGCAGACCCACTTTCTCACCTTCTTATTTTTCTGCCTCTTCACCCCCTCCAAATTTTTCCTAGGTCTGGAAAACCAAACTTCACAGCTGTAACTTCACAAGTACTTTGGGGTAAAATCTCTTAAGAGCAAACCTTTTAAATATGTGCTTAGATTCTTGCTGTATACTGATGGTAGGACAGTGACTTTGGGATTTTACACAGGATACTCCTATTCCAGTCCCAGTGTGTATGACCTTGATTCCCTTGGGCACAATCACAGAACTCCCTTGCACAGCCACACAGACTTCGGTGAGGTACCAACTACTCTGCTCTCCACCAGCTCTCAAGCTGTTAACCATATATAGTATATATATAATATATATATTATGTAATAAATATAATATGATCTAAATTAACTACAAGCAACAGAAAGACAAAAACTTACAGAGAAAAGACCCTCTCATTCTACCCACTCCTATGTGTCAGCCATCTCTCTGACCTAAGGATGAAGACAGCTCCTCTATCTTCACTCTGGAGCTTTAATCAGGAATGGTCTACTTTACTCATCTCTGGTAAATACACTGAAGTGTTTTCTTTAAAAAAGCCTTTAAGCATCTTACAATTCCAGACAGTAAAAGCGGGAGAAAGTCTTGGAGATGTGACTGTTATATTGCTTAATAAACACTCAACTCAAAAACTTTCTTTCTGCATGCTGGACCACCACAAAACGATTCTGCAACCTTTAATGGCATGCCAAACATTTCAAGCATGAAGAAAATGTCACACCGCAGAATAAAGAGCAGGTAAAACCTTTTTGTGCTTGAGTGGATTATGAGAAAACTGCAAATGGGGTGTTTACTACCAAGAGGAAAAAGGAGAGAGAGGAAAAGCAGGACAGGCAGGTGGAGAACTTGGTTTTTTGTTTGCAGTGTGTAGCAGAATTCACTGACCAGCCTTTTCCTTTTCTCTTTTTTTTTTTTCTTTTAAACAATGTATTATTACAGTCAAGAGAATAAATCTGCAACAGGCAACGTCAACACAGGCATAGCAGGAATTGATAACCTGCAGTGAAGTGCAATGGAAGACGGAATGAACAAGACCCATCAGCTCACTGTGTCACCCAGACCAAAGTTATCTCCCTACAACACCCTCTTGGCCGCCACTTCCTTTCTTTCCTACCACCAAGTTGCCATGTCTTAAATTAAAAACAATTAAAAATTCCAGAGTCACCAGACAGTTACAGCCTTTGCATGGTGGCATCACCCACCATGGACATGGGCATCCCCAGTGCTCAGTGCAGGTGGTGAATACCTCTGCTCCAAGCAAAGAAAGGCTATTCCTGAAGGTCTAATTTCCGTCCCCATCAGGCCCAGTGTGGCCCAAGCTGCCTTGAAACCCACAGCCCTGCAGCCACAGAGCTATAAAACACCAATAACAGCAAACGATAAAGGGCTTTACGCTGGTGGAGAGGAAGGCACGGTAACACTCGAGATCTTATATCACTTAGCCTCATGCAATAAAAGAAGAAATCCACTTACCACAAATGCTATCAAGCTCTTTACCGTGGACTCCCAGAGAAAGCAGCTCCAAAGGAATTGTATTGTATTCCATATTGCCATGGTGATTTTTTTCACACGATCAACATTTCTTGATAAGATCTGATAAATATTGAGTGGGAGGAAGGGAGGAGAAGAGGAGTTTAATCAAACACACTAATATTCTACTATTGCTTCAGAAACAGGGATAATTTAAGCTACAAATGCACGCCAGGGCACATATTACAAATAAAGCCTCTATTTCAGATACATTCTCCAGCTCCTGTCTGCTTTCTGATTACATCCAAACCTTCCAGATTTTCCTCAGCCCTTAAAAAGAAAAAAAAGAAAAAAGGCCTGTCTTGATGCCAAAACTAAATAAAACAGTTACACAAACCTACCTTTATCCTCATTTGATTCTCAAAATATATGAATGTCTCAGGAAAAGGGCCAGAGCAAATGTAGTCTGATCCTCTTTTCTACATGTTTTGGACTAGTCCATAGAAACAAATAGGGACTTACTACAGGACACCTTCATTTTAAAAAGAATAATGGCCATTGTTCTAAAATCCTATGGGCTTTTTACACAAGGAATTTAGCCCTGGCTTCTTCCTTCCCAAAGGAGGGAATAAGGCTCTTGTTGAGCTTTAAGTGCTGCGAACTGTGCAAAATCCACAGCTATCATTTTTACCACTCAGAAGCACAAAGCAGAACTACTGATGCAAGCTAGATCAGAAAGCAATTTCATGTTAACACAAACAAACCTTTTAATATATACAGAAATACACTGAATTTACATGTGTTCAGCATTTTATGCATAAGTAGGTTTTGTTCTTGCCGCTGTGCTACAGCAATTCAAATCTTTCCAAAACAGATGCAAAAGCTTAGCCCAGACACAATATTCACCTTTTTAGAAAATTTGCGGTTTTCCTGAGTGAAGCGCTTTTCTCGGGGCTTGAATGTTCTAATACTTGCTTTAATCTAAAAAAAAAAAAAAAAAAGAAATAGAAAAGAAAATTATAAAAATAAAATCATGCAGTTTTCAATGTGTTATTTTAGTTTCATATCATTAGTGCTGTTCAGGAAGATTAGGAATTTCAATATCACTCTTTTCAGCCTCTGTGTGGTTTAGGAGTTGCTTTTTAGACATCTTTTCTACAATGAGGATGGTGAGGCACTGACACAGGTGGCCCAGAGAGGTGGTGGATGCCCCATCCCTGGAAATATTCAATGGACAGGGCTCAGAGCAACCTGGTCTAGTGGAAGGTGTCCCTGACTAGGGCAGGGTGGTTGGAATCAGATGACCTTTAAGGTCCCTTCAAACCCAAACCATTCTGTGCTAAGAAAAATGCAGATGAGTTAAACTGGGCAAGGTTGGACTCCTTTCAGCAAAAGTAAAGCTGTGGCACAGCCCATGATGGCCTTAATAAATAGGAGTTAAACTCGGTAAAAGGCTGTAGGGGATAAACGATTGAGACTGACTCAGCCACCTAAAAACTAAGCACACTGTGTCCATGCCTCATTAATTTTCCTGTCAACACCCCGGGAAGAGAACATCCTGGGTCAGCTTTTTGGGGAAGAAGTAGGTGTTAAAATTAATGTATAATAAGATGAACATTAAGCGCCTTTTTGGCTACTGCAATTGAAGCCGTGGCCACAGCAATCGGCACCTCCTCCCCAAGGCACTTGTGGTTATTTGTCAAACCAAAACTGCACCTGCTTTGTCCCATCCACCTGGAGGGGCCACAGCTCTGACAGTCCAATATTTCCTCACCCACGACATCAAACATCCCTCTACCACCAGATGCAATCGGGTCAGGACTTTTCCTGCTTGGATCCTGGTTTGTAAAGCATCACCCCCCACCCTCGTCCTTGTAGGTTCGCACTTTTCTTACACCAGAGATAAGCAAAGAGAAAATACTTCAACTTACAGGATTAAATAGGACATCCAGCTCCAAGTAAATTACTCCTTTTGAAGCACGTTCCAAGTCTTTATTCTTCAGTGTGTAACAACTTTGTTTACCGTTTCTAATCTATAGTTTGGGGTGGGGGAGAGAAGAAAAAGCATCAATATTTTCCTGGCTGTAATTCACAATATAATTTAAAGACATTGCAAACAAATAAATAAATATAACTCAAGCACACGCACAAAAAAAAAAAAAAACAACCTTCCCCAAACCCTGATAATATACTTGGAGCCTGAAATACAAAACGACTGTTGGATTAGAGACCTATAAAATTGCAGATTAAATCTCTTATGGTCCAACTTTAATTTACAGACCTTGTACTTTATAGTAGAGCAGTGCACGCAATAACCAGTCTGAAAATTCTGCCCTGGAAGCCAGTCAGTTGATGGGAAGTAATCAGCCTCCGTTATTACAGGTTTAAAATGGGATTTTTTTTTTTCCAAAGTTCAGGAAAAGAGCCACAAACAACAACTTTACCTACCTATTGCACACTCCAGTACACGAAACCACTTCTTAATGCTTAGTTTATTGCAACGTTGTCAAATTATTACCCAGCAAACAAACGCAATCCAAAGAAATGAATCAGCTGAAGTAGAGCAAATGCTAATGTAACAAATGTTCAAAATTAACTAATTAGTGTAAGAGACTTCTCCCCCACCCCACCCTTGAATTTCAATACCATTTCTATGCTCTAATCCACCGGTTGGCCCTATCTCATTAAACATCTATTAAAAAAAAAAACAACCAACGAAAAAAACCTCCCTCACCATTTTGTAAACTATTTGGCTCAAATCAAAAGCATTCTCTCTTCAAAAAGTGATGGCAGAAATGTATTTATTATACACAGTAGGATATGTATTGATTAAACATTTGGCTTTTTAGGAAGCAGACCAGTTAATTCTAAACAGCAGTAACATAAAAAACTGCAGCTTACCAAAAAGCTACATTGAGGGACTGTAATGATCAAAGATTAAAGATAACAGAGGAAATTTGGGGGCATGAAATTGCAACCATATTTAAAACGGCTATTGCTGCTCTGGCATTTAGAAGAGGCACTCATATAAACCATGGCAGAAACGAGCAAGGTAAAAAAAAAAAGAAGGTATAATAGGAACCAAGTGATTTCACAAGACAAGGGAAAGGTCACTTTCTTTCCCAGCACTGCTCCACCCTTTCTATACTAAACAGTTCAAAGGGTAGATGGGTTTTCTGGCTAAGGATTGAAAGGGAAGAGGGTTCTCACAAGGACCAATTTTGCATCCTCTGCGCTCTATGACCAGGAATTCCAGCCTTTTTCTATTTTCTCATCCGAAGCTTTACCAGTTATGGAGACCTACGTGGAATTTATTTCACCACAAGAGCACAAGGTTGGACCTGGTATCAAAGGATGACGCAGCTCCCAGGAAAGGGGCAAAAAGATCTGCAGATCTTTTTGCAGATTTGCAGATCTGCAGCTCCAAAATATAAATGCTGCTTAAAGACTAGCCCCTCTTCTAGGGCCAAATGGACTGGCACCAGAATGTCCTTGGGGCAACTGCCACATACAGCATTGTCAACCCATCATAAAGGTTTCTGCTATTTCACCAGGTTTTTTTTTTCTCTCCCTTCGAACAAGGGCAAAAAATTAATTTTAAAAGTTACTGTAAGAAAACAATTTCTGTTTTTGAAATTGAATATTCTGTTCAATTTCCCAAATTAAATAAAAAATGGATTTACTGATGGTAAGGGCACTAAGCCAGAAGGATTTGGTTTGAGGTTGTTGGTCTAAGAGGATGCCCCAGCAGCAGGTTTAGCCTGAGCTTTGATTCATGGACTCTCCTGAAACAATAGAAAACTGTGTTCCCAGATTGTCTGCAGAGATGTAGATGCCCAATATGTATCACAGTATCCTAATTCTGGATTCTCCATAGTTAATAATTGGGAGCTGAATTTCCCTGTATTTCAGTTACACATATGTTCATCACATTTTATCCTGCTAAACTAGGAGCAACAACTAGCGGGAAGTTCACTTCATATTCCTTGGGATATATTTCTTACATCTTCAAGAGCAAAACCACAAGGAAAAAGAAGTCATATGCCACTAAATTGATAGAAAAATGAAAAGAAATGTATCTGAGTATCTGAGTCTGATACTGTGGTATTCTAAACTCAAAAAATGTTTCTGACTTTTGGGAAGACTATTTCAAGAGCTGGAGCTGAATCAAACATTTTGGGTGTGTCTGCAGGTGTGTCTGCAGATTTAAAACAGTAAGTTTTAAATCAGAAGCAAATAACTTCCATCTCGGTCTGTATCTGGAAAAAGTGGTTCCTTGTTTCTTGGGAAACTTTTTTAATGGTGTCATTATTTTTGTTGCTACTGTTCTAAAATTGAACAGGGCAGAAAGTAATGCAGTGCAAATACAGTTTTACAATCAGCTTCATTTGGCATATTTAATTCTAAGTGTTTGAATTGTCTGGAAAAAGATGTGCAATTATAACTCAGCCTAAGACTAAACAATCATACAGATATCCTAGCTTTTGACCTTCTTCAGAGGGAAAAAAGCACAAGAGAAAAGAATGACAGGCTATGAAATGGCCTGTCTCCATTGCATTTTCATTTGGATAAAAAGAAAAAAACACTGAAAAAGAAATCAAACAAAAGACTCTCTCACATTTTTGGCAATGTGCTAAAGGAGTGCGGTTCAACAAAAGGTACAGGGTAATTCTAACACCCATGACTGCATGGAGATTAGATCGGTGGCATGTCTCAACTGTGCCCAGACGAAATCATGCAAAATAGCTTTAAATACTCCACATTTTCATTGCATGCTGTTCTTGGGCCAGAGTTCAGATTTTGTTCAGCTGCTCCCTCAACCTCGAGAGAAAGACAAGTCATATTAATTTCACTCTGGATCTATTTCCTTCTCCTCTCTGGGTACTTTTTCCCAATCTCTGCTATTCACAAAGACCACTTAAACACTCTCTCCAGCAGTGGAAAAGTGAGCAGCCAGGGCTGGGGTCCTAGGATGAACCTCAAATGTCAGAAGGATCAGGTTTCTTCTATCACCCGAACATCTTTTGCTACATACCTGATGATCTCACACGGATTTGACTCAATGAATATTTCTGATAGCTGTGTCTAAAACAGGTTATCCTTCCTAAGAATGTTAACACCTACTTAGGGGAAAGGGAAGGAAAGGACTGTTCAAATTAAATGTGAAAATATCGGCAGGTAAGCCACCTTAAAGAGACATAATCGATATTATTCCTTTATTGATGATGCTTTATATCCTCACTGAATACTAATGCCTGCATCCTCTGGAAGCTTCTTAATATCATACAGCATACTGAGGCTCAACCACAAACCAAGACTGCCCTAACCCTGGGATTAACCTCACAACAGAAGTGCCTACCCTATCAACATACTGCATTTTGTAAGGTCACCTTTAGAAAAAATAGTCTGGATTTTCATCCCATGGGAATTTCTCGTACTTGGGACATTTTCCTCTTCTGAGTCAACACCAAAAGGCAAAGCAATGTCCATATTTTCACAGAACAAATTGTATATTCTATATCACATCCCTTCTCCATACAGGACCATGCAAAGGAAAATACCAGTTGGAAGAACATCTAAAATTGTTTTTGCAATAAATATTTCGGTCTACAGAAGCACTTCAGGCAAAACACTGCCAGAAGTTGCCTCTAACTGAAGGAAATGTTCAGGTACCCAAGACCACCACACAGTCAAGGTCCAAAGTGCAGCGGGTTCCTTTCAAATGAATGAATATATTTGCTAAACTCTTCACACAGATGTCCCCAGTAAAACAAATGTGACTAAACACAGTATTGATGTAGCCAGCCAATGCTAAATCTATTAAGCAACAACCTTCTGACCGCTTGGGAATTTTAATGAAATAGCAAAAGCCAAGATTGATATGACACAAAACACGGAGCAGACAGGACCCTTACGCAGCAAAGCGTGTTTTTTCATTGCTCTTGTCTCAAAGAAATATGGTTTAGTGGCTTTTTTTTTTTACATTGATTTTAAGAAAACTTCACTCTGTATCCAGCTTTGATGCAGATTCAATGTCATATATTGATGACCTGACAGAAGAACGCTGGGTTAAACCTCTGTACATCAACACCCGTGACGTGTGGAAAGGGTAATGGCTACTCTCCAAGGGTAATTCATCTAAAGCATTTGGGACCTCTGATATTCCTGCTTGAGCTCATTGCTGATGCACAATGTCATCCCATTTGCCCTGCATAACATAAAGCTGTCTTGTAACAGATACACACCTACCCTTATCAAAGGACGTATTTCCCCAGGAAAAGAGGAAAGCAAGCCACATGTGTGATCCACCTGTACACGAATAAACAATGTTTTGTTTCTCTCCAGGCTTGCCATATACATTGCACCAATTCTGTACAAAATGCCTGCTCATTCACCCCAGAACTCTTTGCCCCAAATGTGTCAGTTTTAACAACCTTCCATGGGATTCAAAGTGGAATGGAGATTTGGGTTCTTGGCAGAGGATTGTTATCCAAAGACCAAACAGATATGGACTGAAAGCAGGCAGCCACACGAGGGCTTCCAGCCAGTCTGGGGAGGAGCTGAAAACCCTGGGAGCATAAGGACCCTAGGTGGTACTTGAGAAAACATTCCTGTTGATACCACATCAGTGAGTAGTGCATGGTCAGAGGAGAATCTAATTTCAGAAACAAGGTGCTGGTTTTTTTTCTGGAAGAGATGTGGGGGGATTTTCTCCATTCCAAAAATCCTGGTCCATGATCAGGATAAAAGTCAGAACATACAACACACTTCACAGCTGCCTCTATTGCATAAACACAGCAATTTCACTTTCTCAAACTCTAAGACTTTCTCCTGGAAAATACCGTGTACTTATGGCCAAGTGCTCAGTAACTGCAGTCATCGGGTGTCTGCTTTCTGAATCCAGGCCATGTTTTAGACAATTAAGCTTCCAAAAGGCACACTATTTGTTTTCAGTGTATCATTGGCTACTGACCCTGCCCTGACTGGCACTTCAAAATATTTCATAGACCTCTTCCTGTTTGCTGAAAAAAGGGTGCAGCTGAGGACTACACTGACCTGATAATCCAGCAGATAAAAAACATTCCATTCTGCGCTACAACTCTTTACTCAAAGGTCTTTCTACATGAGGATATTTGATATACTCTGCTTTCAAATTCATTGAAGCACACTATATGCTCCCATGTCTCTAATAACTTGCAGCCTTCTAGGAGATGGGAGTCTCTTGAAGCAAAAGAAAAAAGACAGACCCTCACAAAGAGACGCACGGTTGCTTTTACTAAGATCTAGGACACAAAGGAACACAGAGATAGAAAGGACTTCTTTGATAATTAGTTCAAGTCCCCCAGAACCTACAAAACTTCTAAACCTATCAAACTTCTTTCTTGAAGTAATAAAGTTTTTGCCCTACTTCTCCGTTCCCCAGGTTCTTCTTCAGTTTCTAGCACAAAAGCCTGCTCTGTTCAGGGATGTACATGGTCTTCTTCTTCACTCCCCATGCTCCAAGATGGCAATCTCCCTCTCAGCCCAAAGGTTAGGCAAGACAGAGCCTACAGGTCACCTCTGACAAGACAGTGATCCATTCTGCTGAATACTCTGGCAGCACTAATCTGTGTCTTTTCCAGTTTAAATTCTGCTTCTGTGAATGTGGCTGACCAGAGCTGTGTTTGAGATAGGTTGACCGACATGGAAAAGCTAAAGCTAAAACGCAAATAACTTCTCTCTCTCTATCCCCAAATTCAGTGTATTGCTACCAAAATGTGTATTTATCCAATGCTACTTCATCATGTCTATCAGAAGAAAGTGAAGCTTTCAGCTTTATTCATCATTTGGCACCTTGAAACTCTTCTCATGCTGCCCAGCTTTCTATTTCTCTTATTTGGTGCCTGCATAAGCCTTGATCACAGTCAAAGCATGAATAATTTCATAATCCCTAAAGTTTTGTACAATAAGATTATTTGGGCGTTAATGCGATGATGAAGGTGTACTTGTGTTTGTAAAATGCCAGTGTGGGACTACTGAACACATTTAACCCAAAATTCGTTGTCAAATTAATTAAACATTTCATATCCCTCCAACATATACTTTATTCAAGGCAATTTTTCATTAAGAAAAAAAATCTAGTCATCCATGAACAATTCCTGAAGTAAACTTACTTCACGTGCTGACAGCTCACAAGTCTAACTTTTGCAATTTTAACAAGAAAAAAATGGCAAATGCACATCTATTTTCAAAAGACAATTTAATGTCAGGCAAATGTCAGGCCTGATTACCTAGAGAAATTAAACCTACATGATTGTGAGGCTTCCTGGCATCTTTAACTTTTGTTCTCTTTTAGTATATTTATCTAAATGGTTCAAAGGATACATTCAAACTTATAGTCAAAATGACAACATACATTGAAATTCCCATTTCAAGAAAAATAGCTTAGAAAATTACAGTTTTCTGTCTGAGTAGACCAAGTTAATAGGTGCAAAATGTTTTTAATCAGAAGCAGAGATGAGTATATTTATACTAGATTTGACTGAAATAGGAGGCAGAGAAGTTTGGATGGGAAGGAAGAAGATCGGTTGGCAAGGGAAAGCATAAACAATTTTTATTTTATTTTTTTTGTCTCAAACCTTGGACAAAAAAAACCCTACACCAAATAGTTTGGACATTACCACACACATGCACTCCCCTCCTCTGCCTTGTTACATGCTTCCTAAGGGATACTTGACAAATGCCTATAAAATCAACAGAAAATCCAAATCTAACATCTTCTCACTGTGAGCCCACACAGCCTGCTGCCGATCATGCAGACCATTTGGCAAGCACTGGATCTGCAGGAGAGCAGCTGCTCCAGCCACTCTCTTCCAGTAACATCAGAGATACGAGGACTTGGGGAAAAATTAACAAAGTGATCAAAAATGGAATAAAAGATGTTAAGAGGTTTTTTCCTCCCTGTAAACATCAAATCATCCTCCATGCCCAACTGACTCTAATATTGTTCTAAAATAGGAGATATTGACAACTCAAGCCACTAAAACAGACGAACAAGCTAAAATATCCCCAAAAAGAACTTGCAATCTGAGTAACGGAGGGAAGAGCATTGCACAGAACACAACAGCCTGTGGGGCACCAACAGCTCAGTATTTACACCTTAGCTCCTGTAGTTTAGGCTCTTTATATCCCCAAATTGCAGGGGTTCCCATTTCAAACTCCAGTGTGAACTCTAAAGGGCATAGGGTGGATGGAGACAAACGTACTTTCTTGAAGAGATTAAGAAGTTACATTGCTTTTAATTCACATACACAAGAAATACACTTATTTAGACAAAATCAAAACAAAGCTGGAGCACATTGGCCTATTCCTTTACCACTATAAAGCATTCCTTAGGTTGGGATCATATCCTCTAAGTCAGTTCAAGAGTTTTCTGGGCAGTTCATTATTTATTTGGAAACATCAAATATTTGCAGTTCCCCCCTCTGATCTTGACTGGTCCTTCACCTAAACTATGCTGGCGCTGTCAGGTTTATATGGCCTGCCTTGATCAGATGGGACCTTTGCTTTCCCTCTAGAAATCTCCCATTTCTCCAGTCTCTGCTAGGATAGAGCTCCACTAACCTGCCATTGCCTTTCCTACAGCAGCCCACCTCTAAAACTCAAAGACAAATTCTTGCCTTAACCCTGAAAAGATGTGTGGACAGCCTTTCTGCAGGGGTGAATACGCTTTCACAGGGATGTTTCAAAACAATATGGCAATTTTGTACTTTGTATCACTCAGGATCCACCATCTGCCTATTTGAGAGTGCTATTAATACCCACAGCATCACACTGTGCATTACCGAAAGCATCTCACCACTGCCTGTATCACTGGAATCATGGTACATATTGCAAGCACAAATGTCATCACAGAATATCCTGAGTTGAAAGAGACCCGTAAGGATCAGAGTCCAACTCCTGGCCCTGCACAGGACAACCCCAAGAACCACACCATGATGTTTGTACAACAAATCACCACCACAAATGTTTGTACAGGGCTCAACGCAGTACTCACTGTGCAAATACCTGTCACATCCTCTCCTCTGTAGAGGGAACCTACTGCAAAGCATCTCTGCCTCAAAACTCGTGGAAACTCCCGTGCCTACAGTTAAACGTGTTTACACGACTTGACTAATATGACACAAGAGTCCCATGATGTTTCAAGCCTCGTCTACTAATTGATTTAATAAGTAACAGCATAGAAAGTTCTTCCTAAATGTTACTGTAAAAACTACCAGAATCTTCTGTGACACTGCACATACACATGGAGCTGTTTACATCCTCTTGATCTGGTTTACTTATTATTATTACCAGCCTTGTTTCAAAATTAAATCAGTCTTACCAAACACAAAGCTGCTTTCGCCCCGTTTCTCTATTAAAGTCTTTTAATGACCCTTTCATGTTCCACTCTCTTTAGCCTGGCCTTTTTTGGCTGTTTCTGAAAAAAGCTTCAACTCTCCTTAATCTCCAGAGCAACCACTTTCCCATGAGCTCTCTTTGTTTCCAGTTTTGATTTTATACTCCCATGGTAGCGCTCACTCCTCACATATTTGTTTACAGAACAAAAGCCACCAGTCTTTAAAAGCACTATGGAGTGGAAAACACCCCTTTTAGGTAATTTTATTCAGCTGTGCCAATAACAACAGCTATCTCTAGTCAATCCTACTGTGATGTGCAATTACTTCCATGGAGTAAAAAGAAGCAAGACGGAACAAAGACATGCTTAAAATGTTACCTTCAGAGGATGATGTGGAAACATACAGAACAACTCAATTATGTTTTCAGACCTACATGGCTTACAGTGCTGATGAAGTACAGACATTTCTGCAATTTTCTTCCCAATCAAACAAATTCGTACTAAAATGGGCTGACAATGCTCGTTACACTAAGGAGAACTATAAACACTGCCAACTAAGGCATGTACAGATCACAAAACCTGTTTATCTCTAAAACTGTGTTGCTTTATGCCACGGGGAAAAGACATGCAACTTGTCCCCAGCAAATCCATCAATGTTTGAATGACACATGTGGTAAAGGTAACTTACAGACAGCAAAGGGATGGCAACTTTTCCAAGAAAATCAGGGGGTTTATCTCCATCTTCATCAAACACTGTCACTTCCAGAACATCATGAATATCCTTAATAGGGCTGCAACAGAAAAGTACAGACACACAAAAAAATAATGTACATGCACACAGTTTCCTCCACAAAGATCTGAGAATTCTGTTTTACTAATTAAGTTTGTATTACCTTGGAGTATAAAACTAGAATTTAATTAAATTCCCCCCAAAATTAATCATATTATGGGTATTTCCCAAGCTTTCCCCTCATGTTTCAGTCCCATAACTAAGTGGAAACACTACCAGACAGTGACATTTTCTGTGTTTATTGGCAATGCTATCAATGTAAAACTCAGCTCTCTAACAGAGAAAGCTGGTGAGTGGGAGAGGTCAAGGGATGAATTCAAAACCTGGCTTCACTGCATTAAAACTGCACAGTGACACACACAGTGTGTTGCAGAAAGTCTAATTATGATGGGAAAGGCTTTCTGGTGGCTTTGAATGCTCCAGATGAAATGGACTCACCACACAAAACAATTCACAATGCTCCAAAATAAATCTAAAATATCAATAGCTTTTAAGGTGTTTAATTCATTTTTTTTTTAATGGACAAAAATCTAAGGAGAGATGGGAGTGACTCACTAGCTCTGCAGTTCTGGTGCTTGGATTATCCATGCAACATCAGTAAGAAAGTTAGAGATAGTCTGTACATGACATTCCTGAGACCCACAGGAAGTACAGACACAAACCTTCCTTTTTAATAAAATAAATTTGGAATCTTATTGGATTTATTTTGCTGGCTGAACATCCAACAAGACTCATCTGCTGGCACAATCTCAGAAAAAACACTGATGAGAGGAAGCTTCTTGAAAACAAAGTTAGAGAACGGACTCCAAGAGACAATCTCTCAGCTGCACCCAGGAATTAAACAGAAACCCAGCAAGGTATTTCTATGAAACAAATCAGATACTTTTTACTGTGTTCTCATCCAGCCTAATATTTATGAATGTTGTTTTTGCAAGTTCATCATTCTCAAACTGTTCTTCCAGTGGACAGATGCAAATGTCAAAAATGCTCCATCGCCAGCCCTTGTGGTTGCTTTCCTTGCACAAACTGCAACAGTCTTGGAAATTTATATCTCATTCACTTATTCACAAAAATCTTTGTCAGCATAAAGTAAGATTAAAAAATTGTGCTGATTTAAAGCAATACCTGAATTATAACTTTTGTTATTAATAAAGTCACCAAAAGAAAAAAGAATACTTTGATTTCCATAAAAAATTATGCTTCTAATTTGAAGAGTGTTTGACCAGTTTAAATTCAGAAGATTTACCAAAACCAACATGAGCTCTAATTTTCTGCTTACTTCAAATTCAACAAGGATTCTACCAAGGTTCAATGAAACATATTTTATTTTAATATACAGAAAATGTAGGCGTGAGTATCTGGTCTCAACTTTCTGCTACATTATCTCTTGGATCCAGCTATGACTCCATTATGTCTACTCATGATTCTTCCTATAAATATCACAGTAATTTTTCTTTTAATGACTTCTATTAATAAACTCCATGCAAGAACTAGTAAAAGGCAAAAGGCTTTAATTAAGTTATATTTGAGATTTCTCCAACATCCTCTCTGACTGCGAAAAAAATGACATATCTTAAACTTGACCTTTGTATTTTCCCAAAGTCAATAGCTTTTCTAGTTAAGCTGCTAACTGCAGTTGCAGCCTGGTTTCAAAAGCAATCCACTTACAATGTGAAAACTTTGTTCCACTCTGGATTGAGGTTCTTGTAAACAGTGTGTGTTTGAAGCATGTCGTTTCCCAGCTCTAATACACAGAAAGGATCACTTTTGCCTAGGAGAAGATCAGATAGGTAAAAAAATAAAAAAAAGAAAGAGAGGGAGAAGAAAAATTACGTGGAACTGTTCTGGTATTTAGCATGCAGAGTCCTTCTTTGCAGTAGGGCTGAGGAAGTGATTGGTCAAATAAAAGTAGAGCCATTAAGACAACTGCAAAGTGCCTCCTTCTGCTGGAATGACTTGCTAAATAAACAGTATCTCTGATTCACCCCCAGTTCCAGAAACTCTAACACTTACCTTGTAACTCATTCAGGGGGCTTCATTCTAACACCTGAAATCTGAGACTTAAACTGAATCATCTCTAAGTCTTTACAGCAAGAAAAATCTGTTCATGCTGACAATTACTCAGATGACATTATGAAAGCAGTACCATCATTCTGAGCCAGGGAATCATCAGTGCTGCAGTTACACTCTCTGTTTTATCCTCTCCTTAGGGCTTGTGGTCTCCTTCAGCTGATTATAAGATTAAGTATCCACACCATGAGGAAAAAAAGCACGACATCAACTGAATCAGCAGCATTTCTTCAATTAGTTCCATGTGAGCAAGTCCTTGAAGCTATGAAGACTCCACACCGTGCCACAGTTTAAACAGAACCCAACATCGAGTGGAGAATCCATGCATGAACCAGGTATCACACTTACAGCAAACAAACAGAGCAAACCCCCCCCAAAACAACAAAAAACCCCAACCTCCTCTCAAAAGAAGGATCTCAACATGGAACCTATTATGGTGAGGACACGTTTGCTAATGTATTTTTTGATAGCTCACATTACATGAATCTGTAGCTTTCCCAACTTATTGCAGCTCAGCAGTTTCCATGATGAACACAGTGCCCCTTATCAGCATGTCTGGCTCAGTATCTGACTTCATCTCATCTCCAGTGCTCATGTACAACTCAGCCACAGACATCCCAGCCTAACTTCTATGTAGGCAACTAAATATGTCAGCAATGCAGGGATTTAGACAGCAGACAAACAAGATATTTAAGCAAAAGCTGTCTTTTCCTTAATCCTTATTTTTAGTATTATTAATGCAGAGTTCTTAAGGGTCTTACTCTGAGAAGTTTAAAAACTAAACAGGAATCTTTTCATTATGTAAACAGTGAGTATTAACTAGTCAATACTGGTAAAGTTTAAAGACCATGTGTATCACTGGAATCTATTTGTCTTCTCCTTTTCAGCTTACGTGCCCATTCCCTGATAAGTGTGGAAAATGCATGTAGCCTTTCAGAGAAACTGCTTGAAATGCAAACTGGTATATGCCAAAAACAATCCCACTGTATAATTTGGTATTCTGAATGCTATTTTTTGGTCAGTGAGCAAATTCAGTGTTTGAGAAGAACTCTCATGCGTACACAGAAAACATCCAACAAAGCAGAAAAAGTCATTTCCACGTCAACAAAACTATTATCCAAGAACATAAAAGTATGGAAGGCTCAAACTGGGCTAGCTGTGGCTGAAGAGCTTCTACATGTATGATACAGCTGTGTGGAAAGTAGCCTGACATTTATGAACAGTGAAATATGGATTTTCAAAACACTGCTCAAAACCAAAGCAGATACTCTGTGTTTTCTAATTGCTATTATTATAGCAGGCTGAAAACTTGCAATTAAAATCTATAATGCCGACATACAAGCAACTGACAACAGAAATCCCAATCACACTAAAATCCAATCTTTACCATGGGACTAAGGTACAAGGTGGCATTACACCCATCATCACATGACTGGTCTGCAGAAGTTCATGGACATAAGATTATGGGACAGGACAGGGAGGGAACACTGCTCACACTGCTCCTCCATTAACCCTTGGAAATCTTTGTACCTCTGACTGTCTCTGCCATTTTCCCTTTATCAGATTTTTAGCTGGACTTTGAATTTACTTTTATCAATAACAATAAATCTGAGCAGTCTCCTTGGCAGTGCAGGAAATATGGCACTGCTCTAGGAGGGCTCTATTATGGAAGCCCATAATTGCTGCACTAATCATTTATGAATGGCTCAGAACAGATAATTAATCTTTATGTCTCTCATTTCACGATCAGAAATTATGCTATTTTTACCTAAAATGGCTGCATCCTTTTGCAATTTGGTGGGTCTATTACAGCATAATACTAGGATATTTTCAGCACTGCCATTGAAAAACAATTTGTCATTTGCTTCATGAATCAGGCTCAAAGCCTGGGTTATTTTGAATATAATGACAGACTGAGTAACCTTTTACTTAAGCAGAATTTCATTCTGTGCTATGCACAAGGAATGTGTGTCACATACTCCGTATGAAAAGTCTTTGAATTGCAGAATCAAGAACCTGCGTCTCTCTTCCAATGTTCATTATCCACCCACATGCTCCTGTTTAAGTACTGAGGGAAAGGGGGCCAAATCCATCACTGATGAAACTGCTTTAGCATCAGCAAAGTTTTCCAAAGGGTAAATAACCTTCCGGGCTCAGCTCTTTCCATGAACACTGGTTATATTAAAATCTCATATATTTGTAGATAGCCTCAGCCTTGCCATGTGCCAAAGGTTCTGTTTTGCTGTGCTACACTTATTAAATTAGTCAGTAAGGTGCAGTTACACTACTAATATATGGACATACACATTATGTCAATTTAGAAATGGGTTTCTTTGCAAGTTTCCTTTCATTATTGGCAGGTTTTCTGTTTGTTTTCAAATTAAGTTCTTCAGTTCCTCAAAGTACTGCTCTCTACACTAACCTTCTTTTTCCACTTCAGGATTAAGTAGTGAATTGAAAATAGCACTGACATAGTACCATGATTAACTGCAGGCTTTCTGCTTTGCTCCTTATTTTAGGAGCAACGTTCTCTTACGTAACAATTCCTTCACAAATATGAGGGAATGAGACAAAAGTGTTTTTTCTCTAGTATCTTTCCTGCCTTTATCAACAAGTTATCTTAAAAAAATGACTATGTCAGCAAATACACAACACACAATGCTGTGTCTGTGAATTATGAGCTGCTGCGAGACACAGAGGGGAATTAAAAGGTCTCCAGAATCCTGGAGAAGTTGCTAATAAAAATAATAGTATCCAGGCAGTCACTACAGAGAAGTATCAATCCCCCAGCCCTTCCCTGGAGGGACAATATAAAGTTGTGGTTTTAAAAGGTGTTAGTGTCCATTGCTGTCAGGACCAGTCACAAGCTGAGGTACAGCTCAGTGGAAAATCCATCCTTTTTGTGGAGTAAGAGCACCACGAGGGTCATTCCAAATTGAAGCCTCATATAAGCTGTGAGAGAAACCATCACACTCACACCCCCATTGCTGACAAGCTTTCTTTTTCAGGTGACAGCCTGCAGCATCACCCAAACCCACACATCCAGCACCATGTCAGACACCCCCAAAATCTTTCAGTTTTGCTCCAAACTCACAAGACACCTGATAAAAGATGGAGAGGCTTTGCTTTGCAGGTGCTTTGCAGGCACCACCACTTTATATTAACACTTATTTTACATATTCCTGCTGGAAAAAACACTTAGCATGATGTGCTGTTGTAAAGGTATCTGTCATATTGCTCAGATCTAAAGGGACCTCCATCCACTGGACCTTCCCACATACTTTTGGCATTCAAAACCAATCAGTATCTCAGTTCCCCAAGGCAGATTTCACAGCTGGAGAAATGATGGGAAGATTTACTTTTCCCTGATCCACTGACGGTACTGTACAAAATCTAACAATCACTTGCAATGTATTATAACATCATACGATGCAAAACAGAAACAAAATACCTGAAAAATCTGCTGCCAACAGGTCCACTGCCTTTAAAACTTTGACTTGTAAGAAGCCAATGTCCTTTATGTCCCGAAAGGAATTCTTTATACACTGCTAGGAGGAAAGTATAAAGATATTTTGTTTGTAATTCAGTAAGAAACAGAAACTATTGAACTACTAAATAACTTGATCACAGAATCAATTAGGTTGGAAATAAGCTCTGAGATCATTGAGTCCAACCATTAACACAGCACTGCCAAGCCCACCACTAAACCACATCTACACTTGTTCTGAATACCTCCAGCACTGATGACTAAACCACTTCCCTGGGCAGCCTGTTCCAATGCCTGACAACCATTTTGGTGAAGAAATGTTTCCTAATATCCAATCTGAACCTCTCCTGGCACATTGAGATACACTTATTCCTTCTTGGCCAGCTTTTGAGGACGTGGAAGCCATCATATAGCTTTACCTTCCAACAGTTGAAAGTCCAGAAAATAACCTCCCCAAAGGAGGAAATAAAGCTAAGTATATTATGATCTCTTAATGATATTCAGTGTCTCATTCTGCATGATAATCTCTTAATACAATTCAAATTTGCAAAGAACAGCATTAGTTTAAAACTCAACAAACATAAACAGCCAAATTGCTTGGGTCTATCTGCTCTGCCCATCTCCTTGTCGTTCTAAATGTAATAACTCTGCCACATAATAGTTTTCTTAGGTAGGAGACATGTTATTATGACTGGAAAATTTATTTTTTTCCTGCGATTTTGGCTACTTTCAAAACTAAAGGAGAGAAAAAAAAAACAAACAAAAAATAAACACAAACTCACATAACGTTGAGAAATCTGTTGCCGTTCGCTGGGGTCTCCCAAAGGACAGACACACAGATCAGAGATAGATACTCCTGTACATGGGGCAACAGCAATCAGCATTAGCAGGGACCCTGGATGTTTTTCCAGAGGCAGCTCTAGGCGATTGGTCTGCTTCATGGGCAGGGCAGTAATGTCAACTTGGCACCTGGAACAACATTGCCAAGGGTTAACAAGAAAAAGGAGATGGGGGGAAAAAATATTATGAAGCAACATTTATACTGATTTTAGTAGCAAGCAGGCATCAAAACTTATGGCTTGTTCAGGATGAAAAGAATGCAAAAAAAATCCCAAAATTAACATTAGGAAACCAATTAGCCAATTTCTGTCTCACTTACTGTCAAGTTTTGCTTTCTGGTCTGTCTACTGGCAAGGAAAGGCAAGAGGTATGGGCTGCAAGTACAGGAGGAAAACTTAACTCTGGCCTGCCTCAATTCCCCTCTAAAATCCCCCAGTGTTTTGTGATGGATTTGAAACACAATTCTACTTCACCTGGGGGAAAAGAAAAGGGGCAAACGCAAAATTTAAAACATTAGCCTAAAATAGATTAGTTTCTTTAAAGTCACATTCTCCATTTTATGCTACATTATACTGTATGCCCCAATCTCTTTTACAAGCCTTACTAGAGCTACATTTTCAGTGTACTATTTCCCAAAGGGAAGGATTGCCTTAAAAGTCCTCCCCCACCCACTCCCTGCACATAATATGTATCATTAACCTGATACTTCCCCCAAAAATAAAAATAAGGACGATAAAGGAAAAACATTCATAAAGAGACAATAATAGAAGATGAGTATGGGCTAAAGCAGAGAGATCACTAGGCAGCCAGTTATACACGAAGGGAGCGGTTAAACGCAACAAAAAGCCTAATCACTTGGCTCGGCTAAATGCCTTCTATTTAGAAGTCCAGTAAATGGAGTGGAACTTTTTTGAACCTCTGTGGGGCCTGGCTTTTAAGGACAGGCTGAACAAAAGTTACAGATGAAAAAGGAAAAAAAAAAAAACCAGAAAAAATTAGGAAGGAGGGAGTTGGTTGCCACACTGCAAGAGGAGTCACATTTCTCAAAGCGACGGCGAGCGGATGATGGAGAGCGAGAGCTTTTGCTCCGCTTAATGCCTGCCGACAAGTTTTTATTTAAACTAAACTTGTTAAGGTGTTGTCTTAATAGGCTAAAATTCCACAGGGCTCCCCCAGGTGGGTTTCTTCTGGGTAAATGGTGCATGTAGTGTTCCTGATTGATCCCATTCCAGTAGTAGAGCTGGAGCAGTTTATACCCATCTGCTATAAATTGCATGCTTTCCGCTTCTTAACAGCCTATTTTCTGTGAATGCTAAAGGGGGTGAAAAAAAAAAAAAGATCTCAAAACATTTCAGCCTGAAAGCCCAAGAAACAGTGTTATGAAGTAAAAGCCATTGCTCTGATGAGTTTGAAAGTCATCCAGTAGCACCGTGTATTAAAACATGACTCTTTAAGCTTCCTCTGACCACAATCAACGGGAATGACTTTGCCTTAAGTGTGCTCTTTGCTGTACACTGCACTGGATGTACAACAGGTTTCAAGTTTACTCTTATTAACTGCTTTCAAGTGCTTTGAAAGAGAAAGAAAATAAACCAGGCAGAGTACCAAGACGGCTCGGCGCGTAGGCTGCCTCTCAACACCATTTCCAAGTGTGAGAGGTTGCGTTTTAAACTCATTGCTACGCCTAGACTCCTCAGAAAGATATGACAGGAAAAGTTACAGCAGAAAGGAAAACAAAACAACAACAAAGAGAGAGAAAAAGACCTTATTTTTATTTGAGAAAAAAACCTTATCACTTCCCCACTGGAGGTCAACATCACCTTGGCTGCACTAACACCGTTGCACCTCAGATCACAGCAGTTTCACTGATACTTTGGGTATCAGTACAAAAAGGGGAATGTATCATTATCTTGGAGTTTAGTTTTATTTTTTTTTCAGATGAAGAAACTGAAGGAAGGAGAGGGGAAATCTCAAGGTCTCCCAGCTGGTCTGTGGTTCAGCTGGCAATAGAGGCCATGTCTCCCACGTCAGCATTTCATACACCACCCACTCAACACAGTCCACAACTGGGAAAAGCTGCAATTGTTTTTTATGTTAAAAACTTTCCATGGGTTAAGAGAGAAAAGATAACTTGTTCAGAAAATGGTGCATCTCCTACCAATAGATAACCTCAGAAATCTCTCATATCTCGAAGGCAAAGTTAAATATAATTCCAGCTTGTTTTGGCATATCGGAATTGTTTCTCTTAGTAAAAGAATTTGAATAGCCAAAGTTCAAAGAAAAGACGGAGTATAAGGACGTGGGGGTAGGAAGGATGCACATGTGGAGGGGAGAACAGCAGGAGATGGTGTATAAGCATTTCTTCCTCAAATCATGTCCGATTTCTGTGCAAACCAACTTCCTTAAAACATCTGTGTTCACTCAAGGTGAGAGAAAGCAAAATTCACTCTGTATTTTCTTGTGAGGAACTGAAAAGAAAATCCACATTTGCACTTGCAAATGGCAAAAGGTTTAAGAAAAAAAAAGAATCTGTTTCATTTAGGTTATACAACATAATTGATCAGACTGAAAAGAATGCAGCTTGGTAAAACAATTAGACACTCAATTTACTCTATAAATTCAGCAGTTTCCACACAAATGCCTCTACACTATTAAAAGGAGTCTAATGATTTCCAAACTACTTCCCTCATCCTCCCGAAACAGAAACTATTCCTTTCCTTCTTTCTCAGCTTTCTATCTGCAAGACCTTATTACAGATAATTATTTCAGAGGAAAGTGGTAAGAGACTATCATGATGGGCACAGAATAAAACTAATGGAGGTAATCTACTTTTTGCTTAAAGGTTGTCTGATCTGAATGCAAAGGGCAAAACTCTCAGATTATTTGTATTTTACGTGATGCAAATGATCTCCCAAGTTAAATTCTCAACACAGTAATCCTATTTCAGAATAGAATAGCTCTGCTTGTGGTCATCTTTTGCTACATTACATATTAAATTCAGGCATAATCTTTCACACATGTGGCTGTATGTAAGATCTGTAGGGGATGCAATTATGTAAGTTGAGTGCATTGTGCACACAAATGTAGCACCTTTTTTTTTTTTTTAACCACAATTAATTAAATGCTTTCCTTTCTCCTCTTGATCAATATTGAGGTCTGCACCTCTACATTAACCCCTAGTCCTGTAGAGGATTACACCACAGCTTTAGTTTTCATTTAAAGCTATTCTTTTGACTTACAGCCCTCATCTGTAGCTACTTTTCCCCCTTTTTTATTCATTTTGCAGAGAAATATTATTTGAGAACACTACACAGCACATTTGGGAATCAAATGTTAAAATTTCACTAAAAGGTGCTGAGCTTAGCCTCTTACTAGCCCCTGCACAATTCTTGAAAATCCTTCACAAAAGAGGTCAGAATCATTACCACAGGGTCCAGCAAGATGCATCGATGATTAATATTTGAAGAGGAATTTCAAATGCCACAGGTGTCAGGGAGACAATTAATAAGGTCTTATTCTGACTCATTCTACAGATAAATTTTTGTTGTCTGATTCATCCTATAACCTGGTGAAATTTAAATTAAAGGTTTGGATACAGTCATAGATTTCACTGCTCCATCCCAACATCGAGGCCTTTAAAATAAGGCTTGTTTCTTGTTTCAAAGACAGTTTCCTGGAGGCATTCATCACAAAGATATTGGATGCACTCCAGTTTCAGAGCTCATGGTCTTAAGTCTAGCAGTTTTTGTAAAATCTCTTCCTTGAGGTAAATATGTGAAGGAAAACCCTTCAACATTCCGCAGCATCTCTTTTTTAAAACATATCCCTTACTGCAGAAACACTCTCTAAAACCCTGGCATAAACAATTTAACTCTGCCCAGACAAATTCTGCACACGTTAACACCTTTGTTTATTAATATACATTAACATCGTCTCCTGTTTATAGCATGCCTCTTATCCCAAAGGACACAAAAACCACTTAATAAAGGTTACTAACAGTCCTGTGCAGACTAAATAAAGGGATTATTTCATCCAGCACCAAAATGCAGCCACTCCTCAGTGTCAGACCCTGCAGATGAACCACTCAAGGCTGCAGGATTTTAAGCAAGGAAGGGCAATTGGACCCAGCTGAAAATCTAAGGAGACTGCAGGTAGGTCGAATGTAATAATTTAGCTTGTGATGTGCACTGACAGTGAGGGTTTGTTTTGTGATAGAAGAGTGGCATGAAATGTTTCCTCACTAATTCAGCAGCAGACAAACGCCCCAGGTGTTACTGTTTAGCACCAGAGGTGCAAGGCATTCCTTATCCTACATGTTCCATAGTCTCCACAGACACTTCAGGTCCTATTTCAGGAATAATATTTTTACCTTGAAACCAAATTATGCCTGGGAGAAGAGACCTGTTCCAGGGTTGTAAGGCATCCATCCTATATGAAATCCTGGGTTTAAAGGAATTCATAGGAGTCTTTAAGCCACAAAAGTTCTGCAGCCTGGATTAACAGATTTGACTCCGCTTTAAGCATCTCCAACTTCATTTGAATATTAAAAATATACATATATTTAAAGGTCTAACCAACACAGTTCTGGGCTGAACAGGCTGGAGGGGGAGTATAACGAATTCTAACTCTATTCACAAATTGGCCACAAAATTATTAATTCAGATCCAGAAAATTTTGCCTTTTACTTAAAACCATGCAAATAATTTGAGGGCAGTTGGCTGTACTGGCATGTGCTATGACTGAATACAACCCACAAATATTCTACTAAAGAATCTTTCTTACAATGATGTTGTGAAATCCAGAAATCTCAAAACTCAACTTGGAAATCATGGAGACAATAAACATGGCACCTCATAATGCTGTTTTTCCAACAGAATCCTTTTCCAGATTAGATGGTATTTGAATCCTTCATAAAATATTATTTATTGGGTGTCAAAAGTTTCTACACAGTCAAAAAAAGACTTGTTATTATGCATTTGGTGTTTACCTATTCTTGTAATTGCTTTTCAAAAACTAGTATATTTTCTTTCCTGTTTTGATGCTACAGCCAATTTACTGTGTTTAAGACAGGAAAAGCAAAACTTTTCTCTTCACACAGACATCAAAAATAACTTTCAACATAGAATCATAGAATTGTTTGTGTTGGAAAGGATCTTGAAGATCATCTTGTTCCAACCCCCTGCCACAGGCTGGGGCACCTTCCTCTAGACCAGATTACTCAGGGCCCCATCCAACCTGGTCTTGAACACTTCCAGGGATTTACCCTGGAAGATTTACCTTTACTTTAAGGTAAATCTGCCACACAGACTTCACCAATACTGAATAGAATAAGCATTTTGCTGATAGTTTTTGCCACACTAAACATCACCTGCCAGAAACCAGTAGAAAAAAATAAAAAAGAGGGGAAAAACCTAAGGAAGAATTTCTCTGGCATAAGGGAGACTGACCTGAGGCAAGCCGCAACCACTGCTTCATTTCTTAACTCTAAACAGAATATCAGAAGTAATGGAAGTAACTGTGAGAATGGAAGGAACAGATTCATCTTCAGCCACTTCTCCATGTGATGAGCAACAGCAGTCAGCCAGAAAGCATTTCCTGCTCTGCAAAACCACAAACATTTGTAGAGCCAAAGGGCATTGTTCTTCTCAGTGAATAGTTTCAAACTATTTGCATGCTTAAAGTAAGAGAATGTTCTTATGAGTTATTGTTACTGTTATTTAGTCAGCAAGTTGTGAAACCCTGGCCAGGTGAGAACAGCAAACAACTGCAGGCAGGCTCCCAGCCCCCAAGAAATTTAGAGGTTGTGGCAATGATCCTGCAAGCAGATAAGCATGGGCAGACCCAAGAGGGGCTCCAGAAGCTGAATGGTTCTTGATGTTGCTGCATGGAGTACAGATGGAGTTTGGGGAACATGACAATGCTGCAAGCCAAAAGAAGGAAGAAGGTAGAGTTACTAGTAGGAAAACAGCACTGTACAAACTGAGATAGAGTGGAATGGGATTATAGAATCTAGAAGATCTCAAATTGGAAGGGACTCATAAGAATCATCAAGTTCTGATGTAAGAGTAGAAAACGTATTCTATTCCTTTTACAAAATTAAAGGTTGACTGCTATCTCATAAAAAGTTTCATCTGCCAATGTGGCATAAGACCAGTATTTGAGAATTTGAAGATATCACAGAATCACAGAATGGTCTGGGTTGGAAGAGGCCTTACAGATCATCCCATTCCAACACAGTACCATGGGCAGGGACACCTTCCACTATTCCAGGTTTATCCAAGCCCGGTCCAACCTGGCCTTGGACACTTCCAGGGATGGGGCATCCACAGCTTCCCTGAGCAACCTGTTCCAGTGCCTTACAACTGTCATAGTGAAAAATTTGTTCCTAATATCTAATCTAAACCTACTCTCTGTCAATTTGAACCAACTCCTCCTTTTCCTGTCACTACATGTTCCCATAAATAGTCTCTCCATCTTTCTCGTAGGCTCCCTACAGGTACTGGAATAATTCAGTGGGACAAGATCTGGTAGCAGTCAGGAGATGGATAAATCACCAGTGAGGCTGCCCCCCAGAAACGATGCTTTAAACCAAATAAGCTTGTGCAGGAGTGTGGAGCCCCAAACCCATAGAGATCAGTCCTCTGTGGCAATGGGGGGAGATTACCCAAATAAAGCAAACCCAGTTAGCAAGACCCATATGTAAACATTAGTTTATAAGAACTACAAGAACATAACATCAAAGTGCAAACAGAAAAAAGGGATACCAGTGTCTCAAAAGGAGCACAAAGATCCTTGGGCTGTCACCATCAGGATCTGGAGCAATATCACCATACAAATACAGACAAATTCTGCCTCCTTGATGCCACTGGCTCTCCAGAAACAGCTGCCACTGAGCTCCCGCAGTATTTTGGGTTTTAGAGGCAGCTTCAGTGTTTCTGCATTCAGGTTGTGGCTAATCAATTACCCATTAACAGGTTTTAATAAACATAATGTAAACATAATCTGGACATGACTGCAAAAAGGAGAAAAAAATACATTATGATGCTGGGAATAAAAATAAATTGACCAGTTTAAAAAAAAAAATCACATTATTTTTCATATTTACCCCACCCCACCCGAAAAAAATCTAAGCCAAACCCAACTTACGTTCCCAAAAGCTCCTCGTGCTTTTTGTTATCCTTTCTCCAGACCTCAATGTCCAACATATCCTTCCTGTCAGAGAAGTAGTGAAAATCAAACTGTTCCCTCCACTGAGGATTTGCACTCTTACACAGTGTCTAGAAAACATGCAGTTATAATATTTACTTTTCTTAAACAGTACTTATTTCCACAGTAAAGCACATATCAATTCTTTTACAGAACAAGGCTGGATGTTAGAACATCAATTACTAAGGTCTTTCCAACCAAAGGTCCCCATCCCATCACACAGAGTCTCATCTTCCTAAATACTTTTTTTCCTCTCTCTCAATAAGAAATATGCAATTGTGATGTGAATGAATGGCTGGAGAAATTCTGAAATGCAGGATGGACCCACCAACTCCACTTGCTGCGGACTGTGGTCATCATCCAGCATCACACACCAGAAGAAATCAAGAATAACCCTTTTGAGGAAAATCACCTGGAAACAGCTTTGAACACATTAAGGAACCTAACCCAGTATTTTTTATCCTTTTGTGTAAGATACAGGCAAAGAAAGAGCAGATTTGAAATTTTTAATATCCAGTTAATTTGATATCTGTAAATTGTGCCTCTGAGTTCAGCGAGACTGCTCATGTGTTCAGGTTACTCCAAGTATTAACTGGATTGGGACTTAAATCACTTGCAGCTCGTGTCACACTACACTGCCCACTGTCAACATCAGTATGGTCACTGGGAGAACAGGAGATAGGATTAGCTGGACGATGACTGAGATTTCTCCCACCTTGTCTGCTTTTCTGAACCATGAGAGATCGTACTTTTTAATTTGAACAAACTCCAGGAAAGAACATGAAGCACTGCCAATTTGAAGTCTTAGTGTGTAAAGGAACCAGCCCCCAACTTTTGCTGGACCCTAGACAGAAATTTTAAGTAATTAACTCACTACAGGCAACACTGTACTTGACTCCCCATTTTAAATATCTTAATTTTCTATGACTGCAAACAGCCCATCCTTGCAGATTCACAACATGGGCTATGGACCATTACAGAGTAACACAAAAAGGGACATAACAGGAATAACATACATTTATTCTAAACTAACTAACTCATTTGTTATTTTTCAAAACTACTTTTCCAAATAAAAAACATTGACCTTGGTCTGAGGTCTGATGTGGGGGACAGAGTGCAGGTTTCAGATGCGCCTACATCCGAACATTATGTTCTGTGAACTTGCTCTGTACGTTTTGTACAGGAGGAGGTTTGTTTCCTCCTCCTCTGCACTTCCAGTTCATGACATGCAGAGCTCTTGCTTTCTCAACAGAATATTATTTTAATTACAGCCTCTCTCATTATTAGACACTGGAGGTGAAATGTATATCTTTGAGAACTCCATTCATTTTTTAGATTCCCATTAAACAGTACTGGATACAAGTTCACACAGCCTAGAGTAATAAAAATTAAAATCAAGACTATGGAGTATTCTGTCTGTTTGGGGTGAGAGGCTCCCACTATACGTAACACATTTTTCAAGAAAGGTGTTTTAAAAAAAGAAAAAAAATAATTCCCCTGCGCTGGGAACCATTTCATGTCTGCTTTTCCAGCAGATCTAACATTGTAAACCCAACTTCTGTACTGGCAAAGAACAAAACACATGTGTGGTGTGTGTAGCTTCATTTCATATTGAGGTCAAACATCCATCAACATGATGAGTCTGTTAAATGCACAAAACACAGATACACACAATATTCCTAACTTCCTCTTTCTCTATCGGCATGTAAAGCATATTAGTAAAACACTAATGTTTCTAATCTGGTCTCCTGGTTTTGATCTCACTTATATAAAAGGGTATCAAGAATAGTTCCATCTGAGGCAGCAACACCACTAAAACACCAAGTGCCTTATTGGCTTCAGCAAACTTAAGAAAATCCTTAATACTTACCTTGCTCTTGTATCTTTGATCTCCCAGTTTGAGGAGAATAAAAATCTCTGCCAAGCCCCCTCCAGGCATGTTCTTCCCCTCCAAGAGTGTGATGGTGACCAGCCCGTTCCACAACTGGTTCTTGCGCAGAGACTCGGAGAGTCGCATGTTCCGCATGAAACTCGACTGAAAAGCAAGTCAGCAACAGAAAATGTTTACAGACCCAAACATATTTTTATGCTCAAGTTAAGTGTGATATAAAATCACCAGGAGTAAGAGAGGTACCATGCTTCCCTAAGAGTAAGTAGACAATGGAGGGCAGTAGGATGCTATGGATTTTCTGACTGTACTACGGCTGGCCTTGCGAAGGGATAGGGCTCAGCACCACAGTAAAATCAGCAGGGTTACCTTAAACCACCATGGAAGTCAACTTCAGCTAACCTGGCTGAGCTCTGGCAAGAGCAGACCTTGAGCTTTGAGAGCAATCTGTTACCTTGGCTCAGGGAAAGACACAGGAGAGTGATGGGGAGATGGAACAGGGGAGAAAGTAAAGTAAACTCTAAAAATGTCTCTAGCTACATCCATAAAACGCAGGTCTGTCCTTTCAGGGGAGACAACCCATGATCATAAAGCCTATGGCCAGGTGAAAGGCTGAACACGCATCTTCCACCTCCTCCATCACTCAACCGCCCGCCGTCTGCGTTAGCTCTTTGCCTGCTGCCTTTGCTGCTCCTGCTTCCAGAAACTGAGCCCACGAATCAAAAATACTGATGCCTGCTGAAAAAACACTGACACCACCAGGCTCTTTATCTGGAGTTATGGTTACCTGGTAGCCACATTTGTTACCTTCGCAGCTTCATCTTACATAGCACGGCTGCGCTAACAGTTTGCTAACTGGCAATATTTTATTGGACAGAGGATGATTAAATAGGCCTTTATTTGGGGGGAGTGAGCTGGAAACATTAAAACTCAAGGCTATACTTTTCTTCTCGCAGTAAAAATCCTGCCATATTTTATTCTCGTGAAGCAACTTTTAACTCGCCACACTTTGGAGCTTCAATCATGTCATATACAGGTGGGAGCAAGACGGAGGAGAAGATTTCACAAGTCACTTTAAAACAGGACGTGTTAGCTTTAAAAGCAAGTAAGAAATGTTGTTGCTAAATAAAACTATTGCAAAAGCACCTGATGTCTGAAGATTACTTTTTATGGATCAATTACCCGGCAACAAAATTCTTAAATCATAGGTGGTGAACTCACAAATTTTTTACTCACTTTTTACTGGTTAAAATACCAAACTCTGAATCCCACAAGCATATTAATATACTTCTATTTAAACACCCCGTTTGGCTTTCCTGGCGCAATGGGTAAAAATTCCTACCTTTAAAAAGAAAACGAGATTTTGATTCATAAATCCAGCTGCAATGTAATTTCTTTTCTCTCTTTTTTTTTTTAAAGTTCGTCTTTTGGGCCAAAGAGCTAAAGCATGACTGTTCCCATGGACATACTTCAAAGTCCCAGCAGATATATTCCTCCCTAAACACTGCAACTATTTCAAAATCCTTTTTATAAAAAAGGGAGTAACGTCCACAAGGGATCAAAGGGCATTCTGCAGTCTGGCAATCGCCTTAGAAAAATGGCAGTGCTTCCATGAAATATGCCCTAAAATAATTTTGCAGCTTGGTATGTCCTAATTTCGAATTGGATGTTTATCTTGGAAAGGCTTCTATCTAACTTGTCCATAAAACAGCTCCACTTAGCTCTATGAGCCCTGTGAAAATGGAATCCAAAGCTGGCTATTAAGGGGGCCTGGAGATTGCTTCCATATGGCGTAACAGCATGGGAGTGGAGGGCTAAGGCCTACAGCAGGCGCTGCTTGGCTTGAGCTCCCCATCTATCCATGGACACTCATTGCATTACACCATAACATCTGGATTATTGCTTGTAATGTCCCTGGGAAATATCCACTTCCCATCAAAGCCTTTATCTATCTCGCTTGTACTTTGAACATTTTAGTATTTAACATAGTCATGTTTGATGTGATGTACTTGCTGCTTTAGGAGCAAGGATTTTCCCTCCCTGCCGTTCCTTCCTCAGAGGAGGAAGAGATATTTGATGTCAGTTCACAAAAAAAAAAAAGACAAAGTTTATTATCCACGTTACAATTTCTTTTAAAAACAAAGCATCCATCTCTCTTCAAAGCATCCAGGCTGAACACAAAAGACAGTTGTTATCACTCAGTTTTCAAATCAAACTTTGATTCCTTTCTTTTTTCTTATTCGGGCCAGTATTTTAGGGAGTCACTCAGCACTGGGGATCTTCCTACCCCAGTTCTGCAACACACATAACCCCAGCCTTGTAGCCAGTGGCTTGACAGTTCAAAGGACTGTTGGGAGGTACTCAAACCACCCTGGATTCCACACGGTCACAGGAAAAATCAGCACCTGCACTCAGCATTACTGGAACACATTACAATGCATCAACCTTGACCTTCCAAAACAGGTGGCCCCAAGCAAACATCCTTGTGCACTCCTTTCTCAGATGGCTGTGCAGCTGTAAAGCTCTCTGTGCTCAGAACAGGGGTGTGTTGGTCTCCTGCTAACAGGGCCTGGAGGAGATCTAGCATCACTTGAGAGCATTCCAATGGATAGTGAAGCCAAGATGTTTGCAACTGGTTTAGGGCACAGTGCTGACCTGCAGCACCTCAACACAGGCTCCAGGACTGCAGTCTGCTTCCCACCTCCCCCCAGGCCAGCCCTGCCACTGGCACAAATTTCTCTCCAAAGAGAGAACAGCAGCGCACCAGGGGGCTGCTTGCCTTACACCCCTGCGAGACACATCACATTAGGAATGCTCTGGATTTCCTGGACATGCCCAGGTTGCTCCCACAGAGTCTGCTCAGCAGGTCTGGCACGTTTCCTGTGCCTTGTAGCACCTACGCGCGCACCAAAGAGCCCCTCTGTGCAGGCTCTGTGGCCACCTCTCCAGCCTCCCCAGGTACTTGGCAGGCTGTTCCTCTGACCACCCTGATGGAAATCCCAGTGAAACAGGCAGTGTCTCAGATTCCACTCACAGTTTCTGGAAGGAAGCAGGTCTGGGGAAACTCAGATGTGTGGTAGACCCACAGACCTGGGCCATCAATGAGCCAACTTTAGTGCTGCCTAGGGAAGTCTGCACTATGGAAAATTTCTCCCAGGTGACAAGAAAATGATATTACATTATTTATTTTAGAAGTCTTACCTCCTCTCTGATACCCCACACCTACTCAATTTCAAACTGATTTACACAGAGCTAATTGATTATACTTCACAGCCTCCCTCTGAGTTGGCAAAACTATTGCAGAGTAGAGCACAGAGAAGTGCAGTGATTAGTCCAACAAAGTTACTAAGGTGCAAAACAAGCACTGAAAAAAACACCCCAAACACTCTCCCTCCCTCCCTCCAGCCCCCACTACCCTAACCTGCCTTCACAATGAGACCAGAAAAATCAAAGCCCCTGTCTATACTGGCCAGAAAATGAGGACATAACTGCTTAATCAGAAGCCATTTTGAACTGTTTTATCTATTCAGCTTTTCCCTTTCCCTGTTACCTCCCAGGCTACGGACGCCTCCGCACTTGGGTGCTTCAGTTCCTCCCGCTGCTGATCCCAAGCCCTTTCCAGCTGTGCTCCCAGACTGGGTGCCAGGTCCTTCAGGCCTCTCCTGCTCTTTTTTCCTGTAAGCTCTCTGCACTCAGCCTGCTCACACTCTGGCTACATCCCAGACCAAAGTAAAGGTGCATTGCAGAGGTGCAGAAAAGTTGGCTGAAGCTAGGATCAGTCTATAGGGCTTGAAATCAGTAAACACATGCTTTATGATGGAAGTTGGCACATGTCCCAAGCACAAAACATTGGACAAGCTTGCTTATTCCTTCCCCTCATCACTTCTAAAATCAAGGTAGCCTTGAGACCAGAATTTGAGGGGTTGTCTCTAGATAGTGCTCTGATTTGGGCTGGCCTCTATGTGCAAATAACCACTAATACCATAAAGGTCACCTTTATGAGCAGTTCACTGCTGTAAAATGGATAACAACTGGAACTAAAAGCATCCCTCAAAAAAGCCAGCCAGAAAACAAACAAACAAACAAAAAAACCCAGTAAGAACAAAAATATCCAGAGATCTTTATTCTTAAAAACAAACTAGATCTTTTGAAGTCTAAGAGCCCATGTTTGTTGCAGATTTAGGGACTGTGCAACATCAGGTAAGTAAGGAATAATCTTCTCTGAGGCAATAGTATGGCCTGGTCATAAAGCAGGACCCTGCCACATGAGGACCAGAAGACTGCTCTTCTCCCTACTGCTTAGAAAGAGCATTTGCCCAGAAAACATCCCACATCTCTGAATAGAAAAATTAGAAATCAGTGCTCACATTACCATCTTAAATGGAATTTAAGAGTTTCTCACATCAACTTTCCATTTTTTATTACTTTCTGGTTTAAAAAAGAAAGCTGGACAAGAATGAGCAGGTGGGCCATATTCTGCCTTCACAGAGCCAAATACAGGAGATGAACAAGAATGACAGAGCTTTGGAGGGGAAAGAACTGGCTCATTGACCCAGCTTCACAAAATCCTTTAGGAGTTCCAGTCTCCCTGATAACTCCATTTGTATATAATCTCCCTCCACAGGCACCCAGCAAATCCCCTCTGGTGCATCAGGGCTGCTTTCAAATCTGTCTCTTTTCCTGACACACACATACATGCCCCAAGTTCAAACTTGTTTTTGAAGCAATAAAGAGATGCAGAAAAATTGTACATTTAAATGACACGGCGAGGTGGCCAAGTGTGAAGTGAGCCCATCTCTCCCATCTTTCATTTAAAAGGATGAGACAGGACAACAGAAAGCCTGCTGCAATCCCTGTGAAGAGGTCAACGTCAAAACTGGGCCACGTAATTTGCCATTTGAGAAAACAACAACACACAAATAGGAGGACTCTTTGGACCTCTCCTCATTAGGCAGAAAAACCATTTTGCAGAGGCAATCTCCCCTTGGGAAAGAGGAGAGGGCAGCGAGAAAGGCAAGTGAACCAACACGAGATTGCCGCCACGACGCGTGACCCTGTGGCAACCGAGTCCCTCCGCTCCACGAAGCGCTTGGAGAGCTTGGCTACCCACAGGGTATTGTGGGAGAAAGCCAAACACAATGAGGCAGACAAAAATGAAACCTAACAGCCCACACCAAAAAAAAAAAAAAAAAAGGAGAGCGAGGGATTTTCCCCTGCGATGAGATGCTGAGGAGCACTTGGGTCCGGTCAGCCTTTCAGCCAATTTATTCAATCAGCTTAGGCTATCAAGGTGGCAATTCTGTCACTTTTGTTTCAGGACTGGACTGCTGCAGGTCAATCCACCCCAAGCAAACCTGCTTATTTGCTTCACGGATGTTCAACACTTTAAGGTTATTCAGCTGTACAAATGCTGGAAATAGCGTGCCGGGCACTCAGGGTGAGACTCAAGCCACCCGGGACAAACAAGGCTACTGAGCATCAGCATGTTGGGATCCAGCAGAGAGATCAACCAACTCCCTCTGAGCCCCAGAAGGGAAAACAGAAAAGAGGGGAGAGCTTGCCAATACACAGATATGAGTGAATATATGAATACTGCCTAATAGTATCCTCTTTCCTTTTCAATGCCACCCTTCATGAGGAAAAGAAGAAAGCTGCGCTCTTGGGAACAGCTCCCACAGAAGACAGTGCTGTTCTTGGCTCCCATGAAAAATGAAGGATCTGGATGTCATGCCCATGTCTTAGGAGTCCTCCCAAATATGCAATGCTTCCCTTCTAGCAGAAGTGAAAAATATATACACTGTGTAATCAACAGATAGCTAAATCATCCAGTTCAACAGCCCTTGCTCCAAAGTGATTTAAAAGACAATACTCAGTTGCCAAAATCCTTCCTGCATATTACATATGCAGACCATGAGGCTACTGGAGCTGGACTGGACGTCTTGTACTGCCACTGTTTTTGTTGTTGTCTGAAATGCAGCTTTTTCTTAAAACAGCAAGGGAGCTCAGAGAACACACAGACGAAGAGTACACAATATCCACAAGAGCCCACATGAACCTCTTTGCCAGTCTGACATGGAGTTGCAACAGGTATTGATGCCATCAACATTTGGGGTGAATTTGGGAAGTCAGCAAGAATCCTGTGATTAATGTGAAAAGACTCATTTAGGACACTGATGTGCCAAATCTGCACTAAAATAACATAAAATAGTCAAATTAGAGGATAATCAGATTTCTTTCATATAGGCAATACAGATTAAAAAACAGCTGTGAAAGTTATATTCATTTGTCCATCCCTAAAATAAGTCATTTTCCCTGTATTTATAGAAGGAGAAAATCTAAATATTACAATTCAGGTCAGCTGTAGTTCAGCACACAAAAAAAAACCAAAATCCCATGAAAACTATTTCAAACAGAAAACTTTTATTTGCCTAAACTTGCAGATATAAAATTTAGATCTGTCTCAGTTCAGCTGCTCAAATGGAAAGTATACTGTGTTTTTCTCCTGCAACACCCAACCAGAGTCAGTTCAGGAGCCAAAAAAGAGACAAGTTTGTGTATCCATTACAGAGCTCTCTCCATTTCCCCGGCCTCCCTTATTCCTGTATCTTTATCTCGTCCAGCAACATTGTTTTCTACCCCATCATACTCTCTGGCTATTCTTCCATAACCTCTTGTGCTTTCCCTAGACACCTATATTCCCCATGCACACAATTTTTCTTCCTAGCCTTTATGTTCTGCCACAAACTGCTAGTACTGCTTCCACAGACCAGACTTTCCTAACTAAAGATGGTTATTGATGTACAGTACTAGTGTTTTAGTGCAGTAGCAGAATCAATAAACTAGGAAATACTGCTTTGTCAGATTTTTCCTGTGCATGCTGGGAAATATTTTTTACTGCCTTTGGATGGTCACAGAGGTTTTCTTTAGAGATCACACTGGAGCATGAACTGTGTCTTCCCTAGGAAGAACTGAAGCTCTCCTACCCTCTAGTGACTGGAACAGAACAGAGCACAGAGTTGAAGTTTTTTTCCTTTTAAACAGTACTTTCATGTCTCCCAAATCAGTACCACGCCTCAGCATTCCTTAATTTTATTTTCAAAGATGTTAAGGGACAAGCCAGAGTCTTGCGAGCTGAAGACTGACAGCTAAAGATTCAAAAACATGTATGTAAAAAAAAAATTATTCAAAATGCAATGAGATATTGCGTATGACCAAGGAAGAAAAAAACTTCGAGTGACAGCAATCAAGACAGAATTTGGCTATTCTGGAGAAAAAAGACCAGAGTTTAAAAACCTGATTCCCTTCCCCAGGTCCCAAAGCCAACCAGCGTCCAAAGACAGCTGTGTGAGAAACAGGGAGACCAAGCGACACTGATTGAATGAGGGCACAGTAATTTCCAGAGTTCCATTTAAAAAGTAAGTGCTGAGCTCTTCAATTATTCCATCACTTTCTATCACACGGCATTCAGGGAGCTCTGGCAACTCTCTGCTCCAAGCACTGCAATATCCCTGGAATCAGGGCTCCAAGGGCTGTACTTTGCACTACTTCTATTGACAAAAATATTCTTGCTGGCACAATACCTGAAATGGTTGGCTTCTCTACACAGCACACCACAGTTGTAATGAATAAAACAAGAGGAGGTTAATTATTCAATTTATTTAGGCACAAACCGATAGTTATACAGGAAAAATATCAAGATGCATGTGTTCTCATAAGAGCCAAATTCTGCTTTTCAGGAAGTGAGACTGTACAGCTCTCAAGCTGGATACTGAGGCTTGCAGTTTCTATATCATTATTTACTCAATAGCAAATTAAAGCTTTACAGAACAAACAAAAAGCCACAGTCTGTTTCCTGAACAAGTCAAAATCTAATGTAAAAATGATACAGGAATATAAAAGTAATGGAAGCCTGCAGAGATACTACAGGAGACCGAGGGAAGCAAGTTATGTAGATACGTGGGAACACACAAACCTTGGAAATCCTCTTACAATGGAGGTAATGAAAACTCCCTGCTCTGTCTCCATCCCAAGAACAAAAGGAATTTCAAAACCCACAGGGGCAACTAGAAGAAATACTGCCTCACAAAATTCCTCCTGTGACGAGAGGCAACCCAAACGATAAACTGGGATCCGGGAGACCCACACTCAAATCCAGTACCAACCACCGGCCACATTTCGGGTGTCCTTAACTACTCAAATCCTCCACAGCTCATTTTTTTTGGTTGAATTTACATCCATTTCCTTAGTACAGACAGATTTTTTTTCTCTTTCTACAGCTCTTTGCTGAATAGGATCTTATTCTCTAAACATTACCATAGCACCTACAATTAGAAAACAGATGCAATTTGTCATCAAAATGAAAAGAAAATCAAAAAAGCAAAAGGGTATCACAGCCCTCACATTATGACAGGTTGCACCTATACTTCAGTTTTCCTTTGTTTACCCTCTTTGTTTCAGAGGAGGGCACAGATTTTGAGAGGGGACTTTTATATTAAGTGAAAAAAATATGGATTACCTTGGACGAAGTTCGCTTCTTCCGACTTGACCATCTCTGTTCATGAGTCCCCATTATTGTATCAAAGAGAATCCAGGGAAAGGAAACAGAGAAGGAGTAAAATGGGGAAAGTGCTTAGTAAAATAATTAAAACAGCAGCTTGTCAAATGAGTTAGAAAAGCTTATTACAAAACAGGGGACTGGATCTACAACTGCATTTCCATCTACCTTCCCTCCCTCATGGAACATAACAATCAACAAATACACAATACCTGCACTGCACCAAAATAAAGAGGAAATGAAAAAAAAAGTAATTGAGAATAAAAAGTGGAGGGACCCAGAGCCATTAGTAAGAAACATGGCTTATACTTTTGGTGCCATCTGGTTCTACAGTAAGTTAATTTAAAAAGGAAAAAAAGTCATCTTCTTGTTAAGTGCTAATATGGATAGAGCCATTTGACTTTTCTGATTCCATTGGAAATGGCTGAGAAATCTGCATTTGAAATACGAGGGCTTAAAACATTGTCCTTAAAAAAAAATTACAATGTGCATCAGCTCATCTATCGTCTGCACTCTGAATGTTAACTAAGCACCCAAGACTACCAAAACCTGCTGTTTAAACCAATATATTTTTTGTTTCTATGGCTAAGTCCAATTTAGCCCAGGTATTCCTAAAAATCACAGAAGAATTCCTTAGGCTCTTCTGGCTACATTTTTTTTTGCTGTAGTAACTTTATGTCTTTGCTTCACCCCTTCCTGCAACCCAGTGCCATGTGCCAGCAATGCTCTCTTGTACAAGTTAGAGGGCAATTCACATTCCAGATCAAAGCCACCTCATAATATAGATATATAAATACAACAGTGTTTAAAATATTGTCATTAAGCCTTTAAATTATCACACAGTGAGGTTAAAATAACTCTATGATTATCTTATTATTAATTAAGAATTTACAATTCTCAAGGAAGCAACTATTTGAAAAATAAATAATGAATAGCAGATATCCCACACTAGCTTTTTCTGATTTTGCTTTCAAACCCATTGAAACATTTACATCTCTATAAATAATCCCATTCAGGCTGGAGTTCCATATCTATAATTCAATAGTGTGCTGTAAACAGTAACTTTCATATTAGACTATGCAGCAAACTTGTATTTTCTCTTAACATATGTATTACATATATATTTAAAATCAGCTCTGTTTTTTAAGACAGTTCAGGTAAATGCCTAATCTTGGCTTTTCCCCACCCCTTGCTCGCCAGGAGCAGGATTAGTTCACAAACATTTGTATGCTTCACACTCTGTATAAAACACTAGCAGGAATCTTAAAAGATAAAACAAAAGCAAAAAAAACCCAAACATGTAGGATCTCAAATTTAAAAGCTATCAGTTTCAGTTATGGTGTTCCAATCTCTGCCCAGGCTCTTCTGGGTTTCTTGCATCACCAAATGCACCATGTTTTAGCATAAGGAGCCAAGTTCAATTGAACTCAGTGAAGAAACTGCCATGGGGAAATCAGGGTTTTTACAAGCAGTGGGGGGCAGTTTAAGTCTTAACATCAAAGCTCAGCTTTTAGGTTTCATGTGGATAAATTTTTTCACTGTTGTTAAAAAAAAAAAATATAGTAACTTTTCTTCAACCTGCCCATTGCAGTGGTGGACACACTGCAGCACACGGAGAGCACTTTCACAGTGCATGTCACAGCACTGAGACAGAAGCAGAAGCATCCAGCTACAAATGTCTACACAACTTTAACCCAGATAAATATGGGGCTTTTTTTAAAGTTATGATCTACCTCGATTTCAATATTGAGTCTCAGAGGACGAAAATAAAGGTGGCATTTCCCAGTAAATCAGATTATGCCAGGTCTTCTTTTCTCTCCCCTACAAATTCCAGCTATAAATTTGATTTCCTAAGCCACTTACATTTCTCTTGAAGTCTCCTTGCTTGACTGCTAGACTCAAGTCTAATACAATCACTCCCATGTCATCTTCTAAACTGTTGGGATCTTCCAGTTTTAAAATCTGTTCAGTAGTTCTATAAGCAAAAAAAGAAAAAGAAAAAAAAAACGTGCATTTATTGACTGCAGTTAACTCGAGTTGATTATTAAAGGTCAGGCTGAGCTGTGCAAATTTCAGCTTCTTGTCTGAAATTCCCAATATTGAGTTTAAATGTTAAAATGGGAAATCTGGAGGGTTCCTTCTGAGTTCTTACAAAATACACCCCTCTTTTAATAACACGGCGCAGTGTTTCTATAGCACTGCTTACTACTCATAACTCTCCATATGCAGATACACACCAAATTAAGCTACTACTACCTTCACTTCACAGGAAGAGTATCAGGGAAACTCATCCAAGTGAATTTTCTAATATTAGTGGCTGGTTTTGACTCCAGAGATATTTATTCTGCCTGCATTTAATCTCCCTCCCTGACTCCGTTCCCTTGCTAAAAACAGGAATGCTGGTATTTACCTGGTGGCACTATCTCATGGATAAACTCATTAATGTTTCTAGAAATTCGGATACAACAGCCATAGGACCTACAACACACCCACGCAGGGAGAACTCATTTTCTCCAAAAAAGTCATCGCACAGCAAGGGAGTATAAAAGAGAGAACTAAAACTTGAATTCCTGGCTTCCAGCTCCACATTGAGACCAAGCAGCAGCAGACAAAAGGCACAGGGCTTGCCTCGGCACTAAATCAGGGCCAGATGCAGCTGCTGCAGGGATGGATGGCTGCGGGGGGAGGCTGGAAACGGGGCGCTGGCAGCGGCCGGGAAAACCGCTCCCCAGCCCGGTGGTGTGCAGGGAAAGGCACCCTGTGCTACGTGGGGATAAGAACAGGTCTCAGCCTCCTCCCCCTCTTTTCTTCTTCCACCTCCATAAATTATTCTGGTGTAGCTCTCCCTAAACAATGCCACATACAGAAATTGTTAGCCCTAGAACTGGGCTCCATCCAGGTTGGATTTGAATCCGGTACGTAACGCCGGATGAAAACACGTGTGTAAAAGATTTATCTCAAGTGATTTCCCTTAAAATGTGCTCCCCATACTTCTACCCGAAAAAAAAAAAGTTTGCATGAATAGACAAATTCCAAGGCAGAACAAAAGCATTTCATTACTTCCCTCTGTTAATCAATTAAGCTGCATTAATAAACTTTAATTAAATAAACACATTACCTATTGAGTTCAAGTTCAGTGAGCGCTACAAATGCCGAACCCATGAAGTCTGAAGAGGTTAAATCTCGATCGTACACCTGGTAGCAAAATAAGACAAATATTTCCAATTTTCACATCATAAGCCAGTTTTATCCCAGGCGATGAAAGAACTGATATTTTAAGCCCTTTCAGTTCAATTTTGTATTTGAAAGATCAAAGCTTAGATATAATTCAGGGATCATTTTCCATCTCCCTGCTTTAATTTGTATTTTTAACTAAATATTTAACTAGCATTTTGAAAGTATCTTCTTAATATTATGTAAACAGAGACATGTGTGCTGCTATGGATCGTGCCTGTTCCTTTATGCTCCGTGCGACAGCCTAATGAAACACTGCACAAAAATCAGGTACTTCTGGTTACAGACGTTTTAGCAATTAGTGCTCACAACTGGTAGCTTGTGGTTCTGGTAACTATAACGTTACTCATAATGAGAAAAGGCTTTGCTACTTGTCACGGCTGCATCCCAGGTAATAATTCTGTGCAACCCAGCCAAATTACACTCTTAAAACGTGCTCCTGAAACCACTCTTGGTTTTCCTGAGTTTGCACAAGCACGGGAAGAGGGAGAAGAATTCAGCTCCACAGCTTTAAAGAGATCCAGTCAAGGAGTTTTGTTTCAACTTAGGTTTTTGCAGACGAAAAGCAAAACATGCGAGTAAAATCTGGAAAAGACATATGTGCGTTTTAATTTGAAATTGCTGAAACACTTAAACTGGATTGTGTTTTATGTTATGCTGCTACAGCGAATAAAAATCAATGTTTCTGAAGTTGAAAATGACTGCTTAAAAAAATATTGACCCATCTTTTAAAAATCTAAACCCAAAACTTACCTCAATCCACAGTTTTTGATCAAGAGTCTGTACAGGTAGCACAACAGTTTCATCCCAAACTGGGTTGAGGTTCTTGTAGACGACCTTACTTTTGTAGAGAGTTTTCCCATTCAGTTTAAACTTCACATACGGGTCACTTGTACCTGTGATAATAAAAAATAGGTTAGCACACCTCCATGTAACCCCACAATATTAAATTATATTTTCATAAAATAGTAAATAATAATAAATGGTCATTATTTATTTTATATATACACAAGCATATACTTAATTACCTATATAAAAATTGTTCATTCATAGAGGAAATCTATAGACAAACCAGAAAGTTGCGTGAAAGCAGGCAACAAAAAAATCTTCATAGTTTGCCTAATCTCTGCTGTTTTATTCTTAAAGAACATTGATTATTCTTTAGTAACTTAGTTAACATTTTAATTTGGGAAAAGAGCAAACAGCAGCAGTGATGAAGGACTATTTACAGGCCAACTAACGGCACAGTGGAAGAGAGAAAATGTGATCCTGTGCCTATGAATATATAAAAGGACCAAAACTCAAAAGCATCGTAACTGGGATAGGAGCTCCAAGGAAACCAGTAACAATAGCTAAAATACCCGTCAGGATTTCATCACTGGGTGTCACTTGCCAATTTACTTAAAAACAAATTTGAAGTTTCAGTGAAAAAACACCGACATTATTCATCAGCTCAGGATAAAACCCACACACAGAACAGACTCTGTGAAACCAGGCAGTGTTCAGGTAACACATTTTTTAATCCAAGTGGCACAATTTGCCATGGCAATAATGTCCCGTATTTTTATGGAGCAGATGTCCATGGACAGAGCGTGAGGCTCGTGCCACTCGACAGCAATAGAAGGACTTGCAGCTGTCAAAGGAAAACAGAAGAGGGAATCAACTTTTTATTATTGTTATTAAACTGGCAGCATCTGCACTAACACCAGCCACCGTGCAGGACACGGGACAAAGGTACAGGGAGGATTTAACTAGATGGTTGACTTAGTTATTCATACAGACTTAGCAAAAATATATCACAAGTGGCAAATAAGGGGAAAAAATAAAATTGAGATGTAGCAGCACATACAATTAACTGAACCTAGGTGCCACTCATCTGTCATATCCAATATTTTCTCTATGATACTTTGCATTTTGAATATTATATTAAACTTCCCTCTTAACACTTCAGTTTCATTGGAAGAATAAGGCGATGGTCCTGGCTGCCCCCCAGCCTGCAGCAAGGGCTCCTGGTAAGAAAGACTGATTCCTACACCAGACTTCACAGTCAGAAATAATCTCAACCTGTCCTCCCTGGCTCCCACTGAGATGTTGACTGACAAACACATGGCAGTCCAGGATAACCCAGTCTAAGAGAAATACTCAGTCTTGTCAGTAATTTGGTGATAAACAGTGAGAATTTGAAAAGTCCATATTTAAATATATAAAGCTCTGATCAGTGTTATATGAAGACAGATTTCAACTCAAGAAAAAATAGTTATATATAAGCATCTATTTGGAATTACATGGCACTGAAAAGAACTGTGCTCGTGGGACATACAAACTTATTTTTAAGAATTGTAAACAGTTTTGATTCTGCTTTAATTTCAAAAGAGAGGAGTTGTAGAACCCTGCCCATTCTGCACATAAAGGGTGTTTCATTCACAGAAGAAAAATACCAGTTGGTTTTCAAATACTATCTGCAGCTGATCCTTTTCCTAAATAAGAATTGTTGAAATAAACCCCTTTTTTGTGAAAAAGTGCTGCAAACTTAAAGAGAATTTTCTTTTTCTTCTCCTTGAAGACAGAATAATAATAAGGGCCTGGTCCAAAGCCAGGGAAGTCAGAGGGCAGCTTCTCATTGTTTCCAATGGGTTAGGACTAGACCTTTCCCTAAAAACTTCTCAGAACTATGATTATACTCTTACATAAAGCACACATCTTAAAAACAGCACAATTTCCACAAGGAATGGGAAAATACAGATAAATTGTAGCCCCACAATGTGGGCAGTAGCCCTTAGGGGATGCAGAATTAAGAAATAACATCGTTGAGCTCTTCGGTGTTAGGTTCTTGCATCTTCTTCAAAAACATTTAAAAATTTAAAAAAAAAAAAAAAAGACAAAAAATCCCCTGACTTTTATTTACAGAGTAAGCAGGAGAAAGCTGCATTATTAAAAACAAAGAGTTATAATAATGTCTCCACAACCCATTCTGTGCACAAAATAGCAACTGGCCAAGACAGAGAAAGCAACTGATGAAATGAAAGCAGGAAGAGGGTGATGGAAGCAGGTGGTCTGTGGTCATAACTCATCTGCTTTTGGCAGAGAAAACCCATGAACAAGGGCAAAACCTGAAAAGAGAGAGAAAAATAGGAGATACAGAGAAAGCAAACAGCCAGTCCAATACCCACAAGTAGAAAACTCCAAGCCCCTTCTTCGAGGCTGAGAAGCAGGAAAACTATAGCTAAGTAAGCATCCCAATTGCATTATTGCTCTGAAACCTTTCCAGGTTGTTATACAGTAAAGGAAAATAAAAGGGGGGGAAAGGCTACCCAGCATTGCTCATGTGAGCCAGGCTTTAGCAATCATTCTCATATTTTTTTTAATAAATTCTACCCTCATATTTACATCTATTTATACACAGAAACATATATGTGCATATGAAAGGAATATATATTTGTATAAATCTATATTTATATTAAAAATATATATATTGTATATTAAAAAAAACAAACAGTGAGAGGCGGGCGGAAAGCTATAATAAAAAGAGGCCTTTAATTAAATAAGATTGCCACTCTGGGATCAGGCCTTCATGCTTGTCAGCTTACTCTCAAAATAAACATCTCAAAGCAGGGCCTCAGTGGTGTCACTTACTCCAGCAAGGCAGGCTGGGTAATCCCTCGCTATCTTGACAGCCACATAATGTTCAAACTGTTTCACGGGTGAGCGGCAGCACTCGGGCGAAAGAAAATATTAATGCCGGGAATTAATAGAGAAAGGGATGATGGTTTACAAAAGCCAAACAAGGAAAAGGTGTCAAGTTAGTACCGGTGTTAATTGTGAGGGAAAATAATTGTGGAGGGGCGGGGGCTCGGCGGCGCTCGCCTGTCTGGCTGTCAGAGGGGTAACATCTCAACTAGGCAGGCGGGGGACGGGGTCGGCACGGGAGCACGGCTCCTGGATCATACAAATGACGGGATGACACATCCGTGCCAGCAAACAGCTGGACTGTCACCTCCACAGCCGGAGCTGGAGCACACAGGGCTTGGTGGGGTGAACCTGGATGGCCTGGAGAGAGATGTTGGGAGTGGATACGGCACCACGACCCCTTTGGGGGCTCCCAGAGCTTCCCCCAAGCCACTCCCAATATGTTGACGAAGCTCCCTCCATCGTTCTGGCTGTTTCTGGTTTTCTTTAAGACATCCCATTGCATCCAGGTGAACAGAACAGGTTAAAAAGCAGACAGGGAATGAGAAACAACCCAGGTGAACAAGTCTCTCCTGATGGGATGAACAGCACAGACTGCAAAATACCGACTGCATTTGAATTCAAGGCTTGAAGCCTTCTGGATTCAAGCTCAGAAAGATGTCTGGATCTATTAAAAGCTATTTATTAGACAATCTACAATCTAAGCAGAAAAACATAACTTCTTTTGAAAAGCGCCTAGTGATTTTAGAGATGAACCAGTCTAAAAAAAGGATTTTTGTTTATAATCTTCTTTGAAGTGTGACAGAAATGGATAATTTTCCGAAGAAGCCACATCAATTAAAAAAAAAAAAAAAAAGGCTTTTTAGCAGCCATTTCCTAGTGAAGGCAACTGAATCAACAACTTTTCAGCACGTGCACCCGGGCTTTTCTGAACATAAGGTCTGAACCTGCTCATCTCTCATCTCAGTCACACCAACCGTAGCAATGTCAATGGGGGAACAGATCATTCTTGAAGTCAGTTGAGAATTTTACCCCCAAAAATACTTCTCTCGTTGGAAAGGCAAGGTGTGATGCTTTGAGGCTAATTCGAATATTACGCAATGACAAAAAGGTTCACACACAGCAAAATATATATAAAAACTCAGGATAATTTACTTCTCAGACTAAAGCAAACCAGATAGGAGTAAAAAAAAAAGGATGACCTCTAAAAAAAAAAAAGAAATCATTCCATCAGCTAGGCCTGTTTCCCCATTAGAGAAAGAACATTCATTTCGACAGTGATGCTCCCTGGAATTCCTTTGCATAATATCTATTTCACTTCTATTTTCTCCCACTAACACTAAAAAGCAATGAGTGCAGGCAGATCAGACATCACCTAAATCATGAGAAAGCTTCAGTGAGTAAAATGATGCTGGGACACAGCAGCAGGAGAGGGTTCAGTAGCCCAAGAAACTGTTAATGGTGTTTTTAAATGGATACTGCTGCCCTCTAGCAGCTACCGAGAGATGGATCACATTGACCGTCTCATACTGCTACACATTTGCTTTGTAATTAGGAAATAGTAACCCAACAAACCCAGAAGACCCAATATAATTTCAAGCCACACACTGTTTTATAGGAGCAAACTTACTGGAAATATAGCATATGAAACAAGTCTTGTTCCATAAATAAATAAATAAAAATTACCAGCAAGCTGCCTTAAAAGTCTGAAAAATCAAAGAACAGTGTGAAATATAACCTAGACCATCTTAAGTTTTGGTTAAAAAACTAAATTTTACTCTGAAGAAGGAAATTAAAGATTTATTTTATATGCATGTAAAGAATAAATATCTGAAAATCTTCCTAGAAATAGAATTACTGGAGTTATTTATGACAAAGAGTAAAGACGTTTTAAAATGGAACACACATTTTTCATTTTAAGTGGAAAACCACTATATTTCTCATAGTGCAATAGCGCAGATCAAGGCTTAAAGGGGAAATAGAAAAAACTATTCTGCTGGCAGGAAATTCAGGTAATTTTGGAAAGTTTTGTGCCCAGCTAGTTTTACACGGCCAGATGGAAATGAAACATTGCTTGGAAACAAGCAGCACCAATAGATTCCAAGGGAAAACAAACCAACAAGTGGAAAAAAAAAAAGACCATAAACCAAACAAAACACACAAACCGAAAAAAAACCTCCACCACAACAAAACACAATAAATCAAAAAG